ATATTCTATGTTGTGAGGTTTGATTAATGTAGACTGGACGGACGGATCCACGAAGCTTGTTAATTTATAGTCATTTTTTATATTTCGCCTTAAGAAGTAAGGTGTACCATAGTCCTAAGTTCATGTTCACACGTACGAACGGATATATTTAGAAGCGTTGATCGACGGCGATCGTGACCATATTGGAACGCTGATCGACGGTGAAGCCCACGACCTTCCAGAACGTCTGATTTCAGCATTTCAGTTTGTAACACCAAAGACTTAGCTAATTCACTCCAAAAGGGCACTTCATATTGTCTAACAGGTACAATTTAAAGTGGTTTTTGTGTGACATGTTGAAACCGCAGTTGGTTTGTGCGCTTCGCGCTGGTAACGCCGTGGAGTCAGTCAAGGCAGTCGATCGATGTTTAGCACGGCCCTTTGCGTGATGGGACGGTTGAATTCGTGACGGGGCGCCGTAATGACGCCACGCGGTGGGTGCCCGCTACATGCCTGTCTGTACAGCTGTCAAAGTATGTTTAGCACAGTATTGGCAATATTACATCATGAAAACCGACGGGAATTTGCCTTGTCTGCGGTGGACATATTTGAAATTTAAACATTCGGAATAGCGGATTTGGGTTTTTTCCCCCCTCCCAGTATCTGTTAAGTTAGTCAGGCGTTCAATCCATCGTTTACAGTTTTATGGTATAGTATATGAATGTTCGAGACGTAGAAGAGACTTGAGAACGTCTCAAAGTCTAAAGCCGAACTTCGCCGAAATCCAGAGACAGTATGTATGTAATGGTATAGCGGTGGAAAGTTGCTCATTCGAATTCGATTAACAGCCACTAGCACGTTATTGACTAATACCGTGTTTCTGTTTGAGATCCGGCCATGTTGATGTATTCCGTATTTGCACCCAGGTCCCTGCTTCAGCCCCGCAGTTATTTGAGCACATATAGCATTCACCCCTATGCAGTGCATTTGTCCTTTTAGCTTTTAACTCCTGTCACTGTGCGAATGATTATTTATTTAATTTTCGAATGTAGATGTCCGATTGAAAGTGATGAATTAGAGCGGTTTAAATTATGATATGAATATCAAGTTTAATGAAAATAATGTCCTTTGTTTCAAGAAGTTACGGGGAGACATATTAGCATACGCCGGTGATTCCCTCTACCATAAAAATTGAATGCCACTGGAAATTTCATGACGTTTTGTCTGCCGGAGCGTGGAAGGAGTTCTGTAATACTGGCACCCGAATATGAAAAGGCGTAGCGGGGTCAGATAGTCACGCATTTCGCTTATAAGTTTCTGAAGCAAGAATGTGGCTCGGAAAATTATGGCGTGAATATTTGTTATGTACGTTTTTCGTTTTGTCATTGGTGGTCGTTTTTGGAGTGCCTCAGATTAGTGCCATGGGAATGGATCACATTGCTGCAGCCAGTGGGCAGCAAATAAAACTCCAGTATGCTCTTCATTTGTCTGTAGACGTGGACAGGCAGGTTACGGAGTTTGGAGATCTTAACAAAAACATTTTCTGGTAGTATTAATTTCCCAAAATTAAAAAGTTGGAAGACATAACTTATGACCTTAAACGTCAATCACCATTCCGAATTTTGCGTGAATGCTTTGTCGCTTCCATTGTACACAATGCGGCCAAGAGAAGGATCCTACTTGTCTACTTGTCGATGTCTGCACACCGCATACAAAACAAAAACAAACTCTGTGGCTTTAGTCCGGAAGCGCACTATACCGACCGAGCGACCACCACTTGTCGGAGAAGTAGTGCCAATTTTTTAGCGCACACCGCATACAACGTCCAGTAAAATACAGAAGCTTTGCTGTAAACGGAATATCTGATGACACAGTTTGATGTTTACTGTATTCGGCGAAACCCCTGAAATATTTCGCATGCATTCGTGGGTTCTGGGACTGGTGCTTATGGATCAGTATCCTAACCTCATTAGTGTAACTGTTCTAGTTAACGCTGTGGATGATTTCATTTATGCTGGAAGACTCGGCTGGGTGATCCGCCCCCACGCGAAGGGTTACCGATGCTGAGCAACGGGAGAACATGAGCAAACCCGTGCCCGAAGCAGTATCGTGTTAACATAATTTTCAAGTAGTCCAAGACAGGGCATTTTGAACTGCGAAAGTGATCTTAATAAGAGGAGTGCTGTGATGGAAACCTGCATTTCCAACAGAAAAGAGCATTAGGTCAGGCCCTGGCATTGAGGATAATTCTCTGTTCAGCGAAATAGAATTTGAATGATAATTATAAAATGGTTTCAGATTGGTCGCTTTTGTTTTAAATGTGTTGGTCCGGGTGTCATTTCTTAGGAGTGCTGTAAGTTATTCTCCTAAATATACCAATACTGCATTTGGTACATTCCTGTATTGGGATAAGACAAATTAACTAATGTCTATAAAGCGTATTGCAGTTCTAGAAATAAAAAAGGAAATGCGTTGTAATTTTTGAACTGTTATTCCGATATGAACAAAATCATGCGGTTATTGTCAGTGAATCTCAATTTTTGAATGAAAGTGGATGACGGTGTCAAAAACGTCGCGTTTTATGGGAGATGAGACCTGTCCTTTTGTAGGTGATTGTTTTTTGTCTGACGAGCGTGTTATGTTGTATATTACACTTTTAATACTTAGGGAACTATTTTACGAAGATCTATTTCATAATGGATAATTTGAAAGTAACAATAAATAGGTCATAGTCGATAAATAAGCGAATACAGCGATTTGTTTGGAATTCGGCTAACAGTGTTGCCATGGGAACACATGCAAAACAATCAATTCCACCGCTGTATTATGCTGCTTGGGGTATATAGCATGATCGTGGTCATAGCCTATCAGAAAGCGAGAAGAATGTGGCCAGCCAATGGCGATTCCGTTTGACTTGTATTGGAGGGGTTGTTACAAGTGCCGTACGTGGCTTTAACTTAGAAGATCCCTGAGTAGGTGGACAAGGGTTGTGTGTTTTGTTAGCATTCTGCAGGTGTCCGCTGGCAGAACCACGCGCTTTACCCGACGTCATGGCCGCCTGTTCTTTCTCGTCAGGTAAAGGTAACGCCGTAACTGGTAGCGGAAGTGTAGGACAGATGTATAGTCAAGAGTACAAACAGTGGAAACGTAAATACGTAAATAACCCAGATGGTAAGTTATTGTAGATACAAAGACCTGAACGTAAAAAGAGGCAATACCATCAGGGTATAGTAGACTCAGTAGTTTTATTATTTTTTCTTTGTTATTTATCGACGCTGTATCGAGACTATAGAGGGCCGGAAATTTATTATTGAGCGATAATAAGCTACACATGAACGTCGAATGTGCATCGTATCCCAGAAAAAGCAGTCGGAACTAAAATAAAATGATTGTAACGATTAGTTTACTTTTTGCAATGTACCGTTGTTGTAACTTTCTGAGAGATTTAGTGGAAGTTTGATGTAGTGTTAAAGGAAGTTATGGTGTATATAGGACTTGTTAGGAACTGAGATAAATTTGGCAAAATTTAATCCATACTTCAAGATAAAATTTAATCACAAGCAGTTCAGTAGTTTTCAAGATAAAATAACTCACATGAACAGACACAGTTCCCTGTTGTCAGAAAGCAAGTTATGTTTTGTCAGAATTGAGTCGCCGTGGCTCAATGAGTAGAATAATCATTTCGTAGGAGCTAGATCATTGTCAGCATGAAACTGTTTTATGTATTATACAGCGTTTTGAAGGTTTTCTTAGTCCCTTTTATTATCTAACCTAATAACGTTAAACTAACCGTGTCGATGCATGTATAGTATTCAGAATGAAACATAAAAATGTAAAATTCAACTTTTACTCGTAACTTATTTTGTCCGGTAATGGGGCACATACTGAGGAGATCATGCCGCTATGCTTCCTATTCCAAACTATGGCGTGGTTTTTAAAAGTAAATTTGTTATTGAAAATTTTGTAGAAAAGAATGTTTGCATTTAGTTTTTGTTCTTAAAGATTGATTATAATCCTTGTTTTTTACAGAGCTTAAAGATACAAGGAATCAGTGTTTTGTTTCTCACATAACGATTGTTTCCAGTGGTTCATGCCCTTTTCAGAGTAAGCGACACTGGATTTTTGGTATTGAAGTAATTTAACTTTACATACAGTAAATTAATTTATCGTTTGTTACCCACCTTGGGAGCTTAGTTCCATTTTAAAATACTGGAGCGTAAGAGTTATACTAATGTAAGGAATTTTATTTATTAGTGCTCAAGTGAATTTAGGTAACGCTTGCTACCATTCAGTACAGAAACTTTTGTCTTTTTGTCTGCTGTCTAAAAATGTGAAAATTAGAATATACAGAACTAAAATAATGCTTGTGGTTTTTGGGGGGGTGTGGAACTTGGTCTCTGGCATGAAGGGAGAAACATAGACTGATGGTGTTTGAGAACAGGATGTTAAGAATATTTGGACCGAAGGGGGATGAAGTGATATGAGTTGGAGGAAATTGCATAATGAGGAGCTTCATAACTTGTACTCTTCGCCAAATAGAATTAGAATGTTGAAGTTAAGGAGGATGAGATGGTTAGGGCATGTAGCATGCATGGGGTAGAAGAGGAATCCATGTAGGATTTTTGGTGTGAAACAAAGACGCAACTAGGAAGACCAAGATGTAGGTGAGAGGATAATATTGAAATGTATATTTGAGAGATAGGATGAGGCGGTATGGACTGGATTGATCCTTCTAAGGATAGGGACTGGTGGAGGGCTCTTGTGAACACGGTAGTGAACCTTTGGGTTCCATAAAATGTTTGGAAACTCTAGAGTACCTGGGGGGCTGGCAGTTTCTCTAGAAGGGCTCAGCTCCAAGGAGTTATTTAGTTAATGATCATCGTCCAGAACTGATTGTAGCCCTGGATATGTATTTTTCAGTTTGATTTTCATAAAATGCTCTTCGCCGGTATTTGGGTTCGAAGTTTTGTTTGCAGTAGGACGATAAATTACAATTTTAAGTGTCCTTATTTTTGTTTCAGATTAGTATCCAGCGTTTGGCATCAAACTCCATTGTGCTACCTCTGTACCTCAGTGCATTCAATTTGTTGGTAAGTGTTCTATTCTGATTCAGTTTGTTGCACTTGGTGTTAAATGTGTCTTTATCATTGGCCCACTTTATTAAATGTTGTCAGTTTCTGTGGATGAAGTGCCACACAAAGAGAATAATGTCGATTTATGGCAAAATTAAGATATTTTATTTACTTGTGTGAATTGCAGAGAAAAATTGTATAACTGAATTTGTAGGAATGTTCAGAAATTTATAGTTTCAGTATGCAAGTAATGTTTATGCTGAAGATCGTAGCGAAACCTCAAATTGTAGAAATTTAGTATCACGTCTCCAAGAAGACATGAAAATGTGGTATCTACATTGTGTTTGCTTATAATAAGGAAATTTAAAATTCCCACATGCCAGAGTACTGGAAGGAATAGTTCGACATAGAGAGCCAGGATAGCTCAGATGGTATAGTGATAGACTTCGGGCTGGACTGACGGCGTTGGATTCCAAGCAGCAGAAAGCGATTTTTCTCATCACACCGGCTCTAGGCGCTACCCAACCTCCTATAGATATGTAGCACAAATGAGAGAAAAGAGGAATGCATAGAGGATATTTGTGGGAAGGCCAGAAGGAAAGAGACAGCTAGGAAGACCAAGACATAAATGGGAGAATAATATTAAAATGAATCTTATAGACGTAGGATGGGGTGGTATAGACTGGATTAATCTGGCTTAGGATAGGAACCACAGGAAAAATTATGTTTTTGTGTATTCTGATTTTTATGTTTTTAGACAGCAGACGAGAAGACAAAAGGTTCTGGTCTGAACGGTAGTAAGCATTACCCGAATTTAATTTCCACTTAAAATCCTCTTGAATCAACCTGTAATTTGTTACTATCGTCTCTAAATATTAAATATTAAATATTGCTACATTTTCAAAACATCCGGTAGAGTTGAAGCGAAGACTGCCGGTTTTTTTGTATTTTCTTGAGATCGGAACGCACGTCTTCATGGAACGTAGCACAGAGCTTCTGACATATGTGCAAGTACACATGAAGTGGGTGTAGTCTCTCTTTTTTTACAACGAATGCATATTGCATGCCACGAGAAATATGCGAGGAACACACGTACAAGTCAGCCCCTTTCTGTGTAGACGAAAGGATGCTGTTTCGATAAAATCATTCAAAAGTGTCATCGGGGGCTCTTTTAAACGGCAGGGGCCTATCATTCACCTCCACCTTGTGCCGGGGTCAAGAATGCTGGTGCTATACTTCACCCCCCCCCCAGAAGTCTACATGGCGTGGTACTTGATTAGTTAAGCACAGGAACAACTTTACCGTAACGTTTTTACACGAAGCAGCATTGTGGATCATTCGCTCCAATTTGTTTAATTATTTTTAACACAATGGGACTTACCGAAAAAGTGTGTGTGACCCAGAAGTTTTAATTTTTTACAGAGTTTGTTCGAAACGGTGTTCGCTCTGATAAATGTTTAGCGGTTTACGCCCGAGATGAGCACACAAATTCATGGAAAACTCCATGTAAAGTGTCCACTGTAGCTAACCCGAGAGATGTTTGGATGACTGGCATTCTGAAGCATTATTAATGAGATTCAGAGATGTAGGTGGCAGTTGCTGAACAACATTTTATGTCGACAGCTTTTGAATGCTTCTTATGGAGACTTACTTATGGAGTTGAGCCCTTCTTGAGGAGAAGCCAAATCTGCAGCTACTCAAGAATTTCCCAGCATTCAATGGAACCAGAAGGTTCATCACAGTGTTCACAAAAGCCATCCACTGGTCCCTATCCTGAACCAGATCAATCCAATCCATGCCATCCCATCCTATCTTTCTAAGATCCATTTTAATATTTTCCACCCACCTACGCCTTGGTCTTCCCAGTGGTCTCTTTCCTTCTGGCTTTCCCACCAATATCCCATATGCAATTCCTCTTCTCCCCCATTCGTGCTAAATGCCCTTTTGTTACGAAAATGTTTACAAAGCCTCGGATCTTATGGAGACAGCCTTAAAAATGTTTTCGGTATTTTGAGTAATTTTCGGGCACTTTTCTAAGCGTGGCTTTATTTGTTTTTGTATTTTCTATATGTACGTGCCCATAGCCCTGGATATTGACGGCAGTCTTCAGAGAATTCCAGACACTTGACTGCTGCATGTCAGAAAGCACCACGAAAAACAACCAAATTTCAGTATAGGCCCTGCAGAGTAGAGGAGAGGAGGCAAGAAAAACCCCTGTGGTGACGGGCAACGCGGCCGACACCTTGCCTCGTCATTTTTCACAGAAAACTGGCTTGCAGTGACTCATACACCCATTTGCATCAGGAACCACCAACAAAAGAAGTCCTCGTCTAAACCTACCCCTTTACACACCCTTACATAAACGTGTGTCAGTCTTTTGTGCCAAGTTGCAGAGCTTGAAAGTAAGCTTGGGTGCGACAACGGCGTTCACTTACAAATGCACGTGTTGAGGACAGTCTATTTGATCACTAATTACGGTATTTTCGTATGGTGTTAATGTTGACGTGTAGCTTTACGCGAGAGTAACGTGCAGTTAAGTAAATACTCGGTATTTTCGTATGGTGTTAATGTTGACGTGTAGCTTTACGCGAGAGTAACGTGCAGTTAAGTAAATACTCGCTCTCTATCGAATATCTGGCGCGACTAGCAGCAGGCGAGATAGGTTCAGAGATGGACCGGCGCTGCTGTTAGTCGTGTCTCTGAGTTGGTGCGGGCTTGTACAAAGGCATCAGCTGTAAGGTAACACAATTCAGCGATGCAGATGTTTTGCAGTTAGCCAGTGTGATGACTTTTTTGCTTATATTGTGCTTGTGGTGTTTTATTACAATTTTGAAATTTATGATAAATTTAATTTGCACTTTGACATTTCCACTTTGATGTTTCTCGCGTGTAGAAATGATCTGCAGTTCAACGAATAACGTGGAAACCATACGACACCGATCTTCGGGTTGTATAAGCACAGTGCTTATAGTACTGCCAGTTGGTTTATGGTTTGAATTTTTCAAATTTTTTTGGGGGAGGGGACAGATTTAAAAGAAATCAGATTGAATCCCAGAAGGTAGACTCTTAGAAAGTCACGGTCAGTGGAGTCAGAGGGATTTGATACTGTATTAATGTACTTAGAAGAGCGAAGGAATTGTATTCAAAGTGATATTTGTAGGAATGTTCTAAGACAGAACACTTTAACACTTATTATATGATGGTGGATGCATTGTACTATGTGAGAACATATGTTCAGTTTACGGCATTCCTTACACAACTGAAGTGTGAAATATGAGTAGAAATGGATGCGAGAATGAATGTATATGGGGTGGGCCTTCTTGGCTCTTGCACCGCGACCACAGTGATCTGTTGTGCCTTTCTTGTAAGTTACTATCCAGACATTATCTCGTAAGGGCCGAAAACCCCCACTGTATGATATTTGACCCTTTGTTAGAGATTCGAAGCTGGTACATTCGGAGTCCGAGTCAGAGTAGTTGCCGATGTCTGCTGAGTTGTATGTGGAGAGACGTAATGAAACAGGGTTCCACAGTATCAAATTTTCATTCTTAGTGGGATTGTGAAAGTGAAGCCATAGTTGTGGCCGCTGTCTCCCGTATGTTCTCTAATCAAAGCATGAGACGAAGACTGCTGTCTTCTGGGATATAGCGCCGTATAGTTCGTTGAAGGTCAGTAAAGATTTCGGAGGAACTCTTCATAATCAGCACCGCGAGAACCTCAGATCCTATAGAACATGCGACGTCCGCAGTTACGCACGCGACTTATGTTCCTGTTCTTCGCGAGGAAGCACCGAGCATGGACGTAGGTGAATCATCCGGAAAATCGTCGTAATGTAGTGGCTATAGCGGCCAGGTACGCAATCCACACGGATTTCTGGATGAATTGGATCGGAGGACTACTTGTATCCCATGCATTTTTGTAGTAGACACTGTCGGTTATTTAACGACGCGGGAAGAAATGCGGGGGTTAGGCTTAGTCGAGTGGAGAGTCATCGGTGTATTGGAAAGGACTGAGGAAGGGGACATTCGTGCTCTGTTTCAAGGCACTGCCCCTACCGGGATCCGAAACTGTTACCTTCTGAATACAGGTGAGTCGCATTATCGCTTCTGCGAGGCCTGTGCAGTTTTCAACGATACGTTTGTTTGAAATATTAATACAGTTTTATGTCATCGTGTTGAAAACTGCTGTATCCTGTGTAAAATGTGATATTTCATTTGAGATATTAAAGTTCGAAGTCGTCACGTGATGCGTTCTGCGAAAAATCCACGTTTGCGTAATGGAGCTAAGGGTACCCAAAATGCACCGCAGTTTATTGGCTTTCCTCTAGCCTGTTTGGTAGAAATCGATTGTGGCCCGAAGGTTGCCTGCGTAATTTGGTACCGATGTGTACTGTGTGGTAGCGATTTTCAGTTGCTGCCACTACATAGTCAGGTTTACTTCAAAAGGACCCAGGAGTAACCATGCCAAGTTCTATTTTGTTTTCTTCCTTCATGTATAAACTCAAAACTTCATTGTTTCCATATGCGCCTAGTGACCCTTGTTGTATATCTATTACAATATCAACCGGCGCTTTAGGAAATTAAAGTTTAGGAGCACTAAAGCTGTAGAAGTTTGTCTGGAGATGACGTAGCCTATCAGCTTTAACTGAGAAGGGCAAGGAGTTGGAGGACTCTGTGATATCCTGATACAGGCTCACGTTTTGTACTCGGTTTTTATGAGGACAAGGAACAGTTATACTAACAGATTTCACCACTTGTTTAACTCTGCTGGGAACAGCAAGATAACTTTTGAAAAAATAGAGGTCTATACTTTTTTTGGCCTCTTCTTGGAGGCGATGTTTATAAATTTGTCATGGCGGGTTTTGAGATGGATGTCCGCCTACAGGCAGCCCTTATTAAGATCTAAATTCGAAAGTTCATTTTTACCACCAAAGTAATTCTTCTGCTAACAGCCCCAGAATACGTTCCCAACATTTCGAATCCGTGAACCCCGTAACAGATTGCACACCCAAGGGTCCCCCTGTACCTCCCCTAGGACCACATAGCAACATATTGCCCACTTAAAGACCCTCCATCCCCCCACATTTCTGCCAGTTTCCTTTTTGCTATAACATTCGTGTGTGAAGTAGTGTCTACGATCTATTCCTGCAAGTACAAAATACATTTGTATACTGGAATAGGGGTGTATTTACTCATAATGATAACCCGATCTTTACATTACTTGTAACATTTGAAAGTTCGTGACAAAAGTATACATTGTAAGAGATTACATATTTTTGGAATACCCTGTGAAGTATTAGCTTCGTTGTTCGGTGTCAAAACGGAGAAATGTAGGCAGTTTTCGAAGGAAATTTTATAATTCTGTAAGGAAGCTACAATTTTTTTTTTTTTGAAGGGGGCTCATGCGCTTCGCTTGGCGCACACGATTCATCATTCACGGGCCATTCTGTATCAAATTCTTTGGTTCCTTGGAATCACCATCAAGCGCCAGTATCACTTCTGGGGGTTTCCAAGAAGTGTTAAGGGCTAGGTGAGGAATCCATTTGTCATAACTCGCTGGCACACAGTCGCACAAATCTGGCCAACAACTGCAACGGTTCCCCAGTTTCACCCGCGAACTGTCTTTCGAAGTTTCTCTGTTGTGACCGTTTTGTTCCTTGGGGTAGCCAAGTCGGTATAGTGACTGGGCTACAGACTGGGTTACCGAGTGATCGAGGTTCTATTCCCTCCAGAGGCAAGAGATTTTTGTCTTCATAACGTCCAGGCCTACTCTGGGGCCCATCCAGCGTCCTATATAGCGGGTACGTGGGGTGAGGCGGCCGGGGTGCGAAGCTGACCACCATCTAGTAGTGTCGGGGTTGAGAATGGTGGTACCTTAACTTACGCACACACCATAGTCGTGTCGTACATTACTAAGCTCAATCATAATTTTACGGTTATCATACCGTGTAGTTTTCAGAATTTGTCGGTTGATTGCGTGATTCAGTAGAACGTCAAACTTGTACTGTATGCTCAAATTGCCAGTGACGTAATAAACTGACCTTTGTGTCTGTCTTGCTATGTACTTCTGGGCTGCCATTGTGTATAGGCCTTCAAAACGCAACAAGTTCTACCGCATCGGCCCGAGTGCTTCTATGCGGTAATTTATTTTTGAGACACACGAAGTTAGGAAACACAGGCTACCGCCGTATCGCAGTGCTTTTTGAATCACTATATGGCACTACGTTTATATCATAACGGTCTTTTGGTTGCAGACCCGACTCTGGTGGGTTTCTTTTGAACACGTGTCATGCCAACTTTAGAGGAGTCGTGGTGACGTTATTGCTGCTACAACTTTGCATGTCGGACTTATTACCGCCGGTCTAACCTGCCCAACAAGACAGTAACGGAGCGTTCTGGTTTATAAGCCAACATGCATTAACTGTTAGATATAGAAGACAAAATCAGGTTTAAAATGTGTTACGTATTGTTTGTTCGAAATGGGGGTCCAGGTAATTGTAATTAGGACATCGGGTTCGACCTTCACTTCTGCGAAACTGCCCATTGGGTTTCTCCAACACGGCTATGTTTGTTCCGTATACTTTGGCTCTGTATTAAAAGTGGTCGTGAAATTACATTTTCATTGATACCGGTTTCATGTAACTTTTTTACGAGGCTCATGGATTGTGCCAGTTTTAAAAGAGACTGCAAATTGTACAAAAAATTGGTACATATTAAGGTCTGTGGTTTAATCTGAAATGTTTCCAGTACGGCAAATGATTTAATGTAGTACGACAAAAAAAAACTTTGTTTCTCTGCAGTCCGGCATCTATTAGTGTTAGAATTATTTACTTAGCCACATAACAGTGTACTAGTTATTGACTCCTTAAACAGTAATTTGTATATGTTAAGATAACAGTATGCAGAACTGCAGAAAACGAATTTTGAAAATTTATGAACTCCACTCTCAGTGTTCCTTTTTAAAGCGGCGATAGTAATTTGTTTCCGGCGATAAATTAAGTAAGCACGCGCTACGTCCAATGTGCAGAATACACCAACTTTAGGTTTGTTTGAAGCAATATTTTTGAAGATGCACGGTTTCTCTCCCTGTTTGTTGTGCTAGTGGGCGATCAATACGGGACATCCGGTGGTGGGGCGATGTCTACTGCGATGGGGTTGTGGGAACTGCGGCGTGTGTTGCCGCCGCCGCTCTGGCGTCGACTGTTTGAACACGCACTTACCTGAGGAGAAGTTTCGATCGCCTTTCTGGGAAAATCCCCACTTAATTCTAAACTGAGACTCTGGACAATTACTACGAAAACCTTTCAAAAACACGACGTTTTGTAGGTATTTAACGTACAACTGGTCTATAATCGTAAAGAGTTGTAGTTGCTTGCAGAATTTCGTGAATAGTTTTGACACCAAGAAGCGTGCGTGTATAATTATGTTACACATTGTACCCACTTCTTTGTCCCAAGCCCGTTTAGCTTTAGGAGTGTGCTCTTGTGTTCTCCATATCGGGTTTTGGACTTGGGTATTATATTAAACCTGACCTGCGAATGTAAAATTGTTTCATAGAAGGAACTTTAAGATTACAGTTTATCTTGAAGTAAATGCATGCAAGAATTGGCTTCTCCTTCCAACTTATTTCTTCAGGATCACGATTAAAAATTGCACAACACTGAGCAGTGTGGAATAGAAAGCCTCATTCAGATTACTTCCGTTGAACTTCTGTATTCGTAGACTTTCTGTTTTTCAGAACGAAATCTTGGGTCTTGCCTGAAAATAGACCATAGTCATTTCCACATTCTCATTTATCATTCAAGGTCACATTCACAGCGCAGTATTTTGTAATGTCTGCACTTGTGAGAGCATCTTTGCATAACCAAAAAAATCATTCATTTCACATACTGTTTGTACTTGATGTAACTACATATTTTGCACCTGAAATCTCTTTGAACATTCTCAACTGTTCTTATTTGATAGAGGAGTTTGGTTCAACATGGAGAATTAATTTGACAGAAACACAGAACATATGGCAGTTGCACTAATTTGAACCTCATGAGTATTTACCAGAAGTGGAAAGTTACTTTCCAGTACTGTCAGCCAAAGAGAGCCAGGATAGCTCAGTCAGCATAGCAACTGGCTATGGGCTGGACGACCAAGGGGTTGGAGTTTGAGCCCTGGTAGGGACAACAATTTTCACCTCTTCATGTCATCCAAACTGGCTCTGGGACCCACCCGACCTCCTATCCAATGGGTATCAGGGGCTCTTTCCCTAGAGATAAAGCAGCAGGGGCATGAAGCTGACCACTCACCTCCAACTAGTGCTGAGGTCAAGAAAACGTGGGTCTATACATCCACTTCCCATACACCTCCATGGCATAGTGCTTAATTAGTTAAGCATAGGAACAACTTTACTTTGAGCCAATTTGTAATGGATGTAAAATGTTTTAATATTTATGTAGCGTCTGATCTTATAATTAATCTCTGCTGCAATAACATTGACGCACATAAAATGGATAATCATAACATATGAAGGTGTAAACATGATGTCAGAATAGTGACCTTCAGTTTTTAGTCTACTTCCTATTTTGAACAGATAAAACAAGTCTTATGAAAACACCTTGCTGTGTCTGCTGTAAACCCCCCCCCCTCAAGTTTTGTTAGAAAGCTTATGAGATCACCCTGCTCTCTGTGTCTCTATGGCTGTATATCCCTACCCCCAAATTTTTTTGTTTTCTGTGTGGTCCATGTTGTATCAGGAAAGTAGGCTATAGTTCTTCCCAGAACTTATTGTTTTAACATCCTCTACACTGTTCGCAGTGCACATACAACACATTATTCACCATTGTTAATGAACCTTGAGACATGGTGATGTTAAACTGACATAATGAGAAACAAACAAGAATTTATTTAGTCAGCATAGGTGTTACAAAATTTCCGTTAAGGTCAGTGTCTGTTAGTATGGTTATTTTACTGCTAGTAGGTCACAAGTTTCAGTGGAGGGAGAAGGTGGAGAAAAGATGATTGATTTAAGTTTGAAATTTATTTTCTTTAGGCATGAAGCGTGAAGCAGATGGTGACATGGGCTCCCCACAGAAGCGGTCCCGCAGTGGGGATGACATAACTGTTCGTCTTCTCATACCCAGCAAGGTAAATGAGGATGGTTCATAATTTCAGCACTTAATTTTAGTTAAATGAAGCTATTCTTACTACAGAAGTCTTATCCCTCCTACTTTGGTAACATCCTAAATGTTATTTTTTTATTAGCCCTTGAAATTATTATGGTTGCTACTGTATGTACCACCTGCTTAAACACTCAGAAACTCTGCATTTTGCCCACAGTGTCTTAATATGTTTTGTATGATTTTCAAAGTTAACATAAATTATTTTCTTGAACAGCATAAACTGCATGGTTTGGCCGCGCCATAGCTCAAGCGGTTAGTCGCTGGCCTCCCACCGCGGCGGCCCGGGTTCGATCCCGGGTCTGGTCAAGTGGGATTTGTGGTGGACAAAGTGGCGCTGGGCAGGATTTCTTCGAGTACTTCGGTTTCCCCTGCCCATCTTCATTCCACCAATTGCTCCACAATCACCCTCGCTTATCATCTGGGGCTGGTACAATATGCCAGAAGTGGCCACAGTACAAGGGACTTAGTCCCACCCCGCTAGCAATGAAAAAACTCCATGGTTTGTGTAATGGAGCTGTAGTGTGTTTCTTGAGGGGTACAAACTGAATTTTAAGCATTAGTTAGATGAATATAAGGCTGCAGAGGGTACAACTTTTTCAGAACAGTGGCTAAAATCAGTGTCACTCTTGTGCTTTCAAATGCCCGTAGTCTGTAATTTCTAATTTAGGACTCTTATAAACGTGTGTTCTTGTAGAAAGTTGTCTTCTGGGTTTAGGCACCGTGTATTCTTCGTTTTGGCCGACGTTTCGGAGGAACATAGCGCCTCCATCTTCAGAGCAGTTGAATAGCTGCGGAGAGCTCTCCGCAGCTATTCAACTGCTCTGAAGATGGAGGCGCTATGTTCCTCCGAAACGTCGGCCAAAACGAAGAATACACGGTGCCTAAACCCAGAAGACAACTTTCTTCATTGTCATCGCCGTGAAAACCTCAAAACTTACATGTGTTCTTATAGTTTGTCACAGTATATGAAAGTCTCTTCACAATGTGGTGTCAGTAGAATGTTTTAATTGGCCTGAAGAAAGGGAAAATCTCATGGAAGAATCCAGTCATGTGGATTAAATTAGAGCAGCATTTGTATTTGACACATGAGAGCAAGTTGCATGTCTCCTTGTCACTCAGATTTATGCAGAAGCCATCTTTAATGTACCTTATGTCTGAGGTAACATGGCACTCTGTGTTGCCTGTTGTACCCTTCTTCTTACTTTCATTTCTTTCTTTCTTCCCTTCCATCTTCCTGTTTTCTCTTTCCTTTATAATTTTATGACAGTAAGAAAGTAAAGCTATTTCTGTAACAGGCCGTGAAGGCCCGTAGGGTTGTGAGATGTTGAGGCTCCCACACCTAGACAGTTGGCTCAGAGATGGTGGCAAGGTTGTCAGCCTTATGCGCCAGCAGCCCTCTACCTCCCCAGGAAGATTTCTGGTACTCGTTTCTGTTAGGGGCTGAGTCAACCCCAGGGGCATAGTGTGGTTGGAAGGATTAGGTAAATTGAAAAAAATGTAATGACCTCATTGGGAATTGAACCAGCAACCTTCCTGCTTGTAGCCTAATGCCAACTACACTACTGCATGTCCCCATTATAGGACAGTATGCTTGTTTATATATCCACACTTAAATGAGTTGCCCATGTGGACACAACAGTGGACACACATGTGTCCCACTACTCAGTACCAATACTTCCAGAGGTATAGGCCTCTTGAAGTAAAGGATGTTATGCCTGATACTAAGATTTTCAACTGTTACAGAGTTCTGAGTATTCTTTTAAATCATGTGTGAAGAAGATCACTTGTTATTCCACCAAAAATTATAGGTTCACATATGTATAGATACCCATTTAATTACAATATTAATTGATCATGCTTCCAGTCTTGTTTTATTCTTGTCTAGGCTAGGTTATGCTACAAGTTCTGTTACTTTGCTGAACAGATGATCGATATATTCTCCTCTTTTAAAATAATCTTACACCTTGGCAGGTTTTAATAGGTATTGTACTAACAAAACAAGAGAATCAAACACATGAAAGTGAATGAATGGGTGGAGTATGGTAATGCCAGCTGAATGGCAATTCTTCAGAAGCTCTGCAGGTAAAAGTGCTTCTAGTTCCATCGCAGTTGAGAATCAGATGTATTTGTGTAACATTCTAAAGTAAAATATTGACAGTGAATTGTTGAATGCCTCACTACTTACAGTTAACTGTAAATGAAACATCTTTTCGTTCTAGGCTGCAGGCTCAATAATTGGGAAAGGCGGCCACAACATCACCAAGTTGCGGACGGAGGTGAGTCATGGACATGCTCAAATATTCAGTGTGTGAATACTGCCTTTTGTAATTGGAAAGTAAAGCTCTAATGTATATACACAAAATTAAATCAAACACATTTTCCTGCCATTATTAGTCTTACATATATTTAATTTTTTCAAAGGCTATTGTATTATAACACTTCAAGGAATTAATTTAGTAGAGTGTCAGATGCTGCATGATTCTGTTTAGATGTTAGAGCCTGTAATATCACTTGTGTCATTCATGAAGTTTAACAAATTTATGTTTAAATCTCGGTTGAAGACTCGGCACATTCTCAATAAATGATTTCAGTGTTTCAGACAATATCATCCTGACACATGAATTGCAAAGCCATTCTTGATAAGAACTACACGAAACCTGAATTGCGACAAAAACACCTTTAAAAGAGCAGTGCGCTCTAAACACATGTTGATCTGGATAAAAGTTGAACTCACTGTTTGTTAAAACAACGTTTTTCAGTAATTTTTTTAACATGTTTTGCCCCCAATTTTACTCCTTCCATCGCCCTCTGAATGGTTCATCGTTGGTCCCTGATTGGTCCCATATCTGACCAATGGTACGATGGCCCCGCCCTTGCCCATTCTGCTGCTCATCGCTGCCCCGTTGGATTGAATGCCCGCCCGCCCGCCCTGCCTGTGAATGGGAATTATGCCCCCATCGAATGGCAGTACAAAGCCTCAGTTACTGTCCCTGATTGCCCCGGGCCTGAACGGTAAATTCATCACATATTTTTACTAGGTTCAGTTTGTTACCTACTCCATGTGGCTTGGCTTGGTGACCCCTTTAGACACAGCACTTGGCAGTGATTGCTTGTAGTGAAAAGAATTAAGGATTTTATTTAATCTGGCTTTCAATTTTATTGCTTTTCTTTTCTTAAAAGTGACTGAAATCTTTTCATTAAATGTTATTTTGAATTAAAAGTCCAGTTTTAAGCTCTGTATTTTTAATTCACAATGTAAAATATATAAAATGAATTAAATGTAACACTACAGGGAGAAATTCAGTAGGTGTCATGATGACTCAAGTTATAATCTGGCTTATAATATGTGTCACCGTTACAAAGGTGCCATTTTTTTTCCCCCTGAATCGTTTCTGAGTCCAATTACTGTTTTGCTGATACTACAGCAAAAGATTAAAAATGATATGCATACCAAAGATTATTATTATCTGATCTGTGAAAAGTAACTTTTGTTGGAAAGGTTTCATGACTTTAACTCACTACTGGCCAGGTCATTTGGAAGTCACTCCTCACGTTCCCCGTGTGTGTCTAGAGACGGTCCAGAATTAGCAAGGCGATATGTGTAAGGTATCTACAACAGAATCTCCCTTTATAAATTATCCTGCTCTGGGTAGGTGTTAAATGGGCCTATTCCAGTCCAAGAATTTTTAGGGCCACCATATACTATAGATATTCTTTAATTTGTCGTTACAGTGTATAATAAACTTATTAATATGTAGCCCAGAAGGGGAGAATATGAAATCAAACCAACAGAGGGTTGCTACCTCTCTGTTTGTGTGAAATTTGGTCTAAATAATTTTTGCAATTTTGTAAAAACAAAACCTTGATACATTCTGTTATTTGTTAAACATAGCTTTCGCTCCAAGTTGTTAAGGGGATTCAAATTTAGTTGGGATAGTTACCACATTTACAGTCAATCTGTCGCAAGGAAAAATAGCACCATACATTGAGAGTAAAGTATATAACATGTACATAGAAAAAAAAATGTATTATATAATCTATCTGATATTCCTTAACACCCATGTAGTTATTTTAAAGTTTTTGCAACGAAAAATAGTTTGTTATGACAGTAGTTTTTAATGCCAGTAAAGTTTGCAAAAAGTCAGCTGCAAACCTGGGATTTTGCTGAATATAACATGGCATAGATGATGTTGAATAGTTCATAAATTCTACTTTGTGCATTCATTCATGACTATCAACAAATTAAATCAAACCAAAACTTAAAACAGTTAACAGTTGAAATTTTGGTAGTGGACATTTGCTGCATACCATATAATGGTTGTGCCACCTTCACTTAAAGAAGAGTTCTTCTGGGATGTGACATCATGTTCAGTAGAAGCTTATCATGAGCTCAGAGGGATGCACTGCCTTCATCATCAGGATCAAAGAGTGAACCAAGTATGTTTTTCTGAAATGTCATAAACTTCACCAGACCGTATGGCAACTCATCCCAGAAGATAGTCTTAGTAGTCACTGCTGTGAGAATCTCAGATCTCACACCTTCATTTAGTTTGCCAAAGTCCCAGTAATTTTTCCTCTTTATTCCACATTGTTTTAAACACACTCGTGGGTCATATGCAGATAGAGTTTTCTAAAATAAGCCCCTGTGTCATAACACCAAGACAGTCCTAAGCTACAGTCATGAAAAAAATAAATCATATGAAGAATGAATGAATGACTGTATAAGGGGTGGGCCTTCTTGGTCCTTGCACCATGAGCTACAGTGGTCTGTTACCATATGAAGAAGATATTCATGTTAAAGAACTCCTTCATCCCATGAAAATATTGTGGCAGAGTTAATTTAAGAGGCAGCATAGTTATTTCATTAAGAAGAATGTCTGCTGTGAGAAGACACGATAAAGTGATATGCAGAAACAGTGCAGGTACTGGTGTGGAAGACATAGTGCTTCACCGGCTTTAGTACTGTTCATATTGTGTCATTTCATTTGCTGAACAGTGTTGAATCTACTAACACTGACAAGGCTCCATCCCCTCTATTCCAGTACCTGTGTTGTCTTTCTGTATGTTTTGTTAGCCCCCTTCTCACAGCTGTCATACATAGTACTAAATTTAGTGATGTCCTCTTTCTAACACATTTATTTTCCTTTGTTTTTTGGAGATCCTAACCTTATTTTCATACCTGTTTAGTTATAACAGAATGATATATATTGTCAGAATTTTATTTTCATACCTGTTTAGTTATAACAGAATGATATATATTGTCAGAATTATGGGATACCTGTAGCACAGTTGTTTTATATTCTGGATAATAAAATCAAAGTTTTGTCATAGACATGCAGACTGGTGGCAACCCTTGTGTATTTTCCCCTACATATGTTTATATTTGAATGTGCAGGGAACTTTATTCAGGTATATGATATTTTTGTTTCATATATAAATATCCTTTTATTCTCATAATAGTAGGAATGAGTAGGAAAGTGTTATTCTTTTGGGTAGACTAGAAAATAGGAGCAGTGATATGAAAACAGAGAGGTATGTAGTTTTAGCCTTTATGGAAGACACATGCCCTCACACACATAAACTGAAGGTGTTGTAATGAAGGATCCGTTGCCTGGAATGTGTGCCTCAGATGATTAATTGTAGTAAGATGATATGATTCTGGTGAGGGTGACTAGAGATGCAATGTTGGTTTATCTGGGTGTATCTATAGTTTATCAAGGCCATTTGTCCCAAAATTAAAGTTCTTTAATATTATTAAAGTAGTGTTTAACTTCTTTATTTATTGATTTGTATTCCACATAAAAAGACTGGGTGCTTTCAAAGGATTATCGATGGTCAGTTGACAAATACTTGTTACTAAAAACAGATTTCATTGACCCTAACTTAAACCAAGTTAAGCCCTCTGTGAAGTTTAATAACTGCCTTTAATGTTGGTATTCAACTGAAGTGTTAGATTATACAGGGGATGTCCAAATACTACTTGCAGGCACTTCCTAGACCAAACTGTTTGTCAAATGATTATTCAGTTGATGTTTGAACACAGAAAATTTAGACACTTGAAAGTGATCAGCTTTTATTTTGTTTTAAAAGAACAAGGTTGTTGCATTGTATACACTTGGCCCTGCAAGTGCCCATGTAATTTTCATGGTGGAAGATTTCTGGGTCTGATAAAGGCCATGTTACCTTTTTTATTTTCAAGCCAACATTGATTATTACAGAATGGTGTTATACTGGGCTAATTGTAAGAATAGTTGAAGTTGTGATGTTTTCGTGTTCTGCATTTTAATGGGAGAGTTTGTGGTTATTTGTTAGACATTGCTTCCCACATTTTGAAAATCACTTATTGCAGTCAGTGTAACAGGCAGCAGTACTTCATTATCCTGTAAAGTTGTTACATGTTTGGATCTTTGTATCTGGTTATCCTTATGATCTAATTTCTGTGTTACAGTATGAGATTAGTTTATCCCACATCATGTGCATTTTCCTGTGGAAAGCCATAATTGGTATCTTAAATTGTTATGGTTAAATTGAAGCATTCATTGGAAACAAAACTATTACTAATTTGAAATGTTAAAAAATTAACATTTATTCAATTATTTACTCAAATTATCACAACCCTGAATTGAATTCATTTTTACAGAATTCCTTTTATTTGCTTATAGTCCAATTGTGTAAAAATTACACAGTTACCAGTTCTTAATTTTGCAGAATAGAGAAACACGTTCACTGCCAGACTTTTAAATGTGATTTTCATTGTGTGGCTAACATTGTGTTCTTTATTTATACAAAAACAAAACCTTCTATCATATTTACACATAAAGTTGATTCGTAATTAAATTGTCATCTTAGAACATTTTGTGGCAATTGGGTGACATCTGTTTCACAGAACTCAAAATATTTTGACATCTAGTCATGTCATTGAAATTCTGTGGTGTTGAAGATAGCATATTTATGAATGACAGCTGCCACCTTTGGCACTGAATGTGTTAAGAAAGTGTGTTAATTACAATTGTATGATTAACACATACTTTGAATACAGATATAATGCAGTCCAGATGATGACGTTCTTTTTCAGAAATTTTCCCCCCTCAGGTTCCCATGCAATTAACTTCTGGTGAAAGGTTGATTGATTTCTTTCTTACATTATTTTTTTAATTATTTCTCTGTAGTTTTTGTATAAGCCCATTTGGTTTTTTGTTTGCTGGTTTATTTAGAAAGATCAATTTTCACACACACATTTATATTTTACAGCATACTGACAATATCTTCGGATTTGGACACTGTTCTTCAAGTGGTGAACGAAATCATTCCAAATGTGGACGATGTAAGTTCCTTTTATATCTGGATAAGTGAAGGTTCGTCAGGAAGATACAAATTGGTGATAATGTTTGTATGCTAATAGAGAGGGAGAGCTAGCTGTATGGTTATTACCATTTTGCGATTCAGTCTGAATGAAACACATTCTTTTGTGTCTGTATGTGCCTGTGTAAGGTAGGGGGGATGGGTTGGATAGTGTGAGTGCTTTGTGTACGTGTTGTTTACTGACCAGTGTAAATAGTGTTATAATGCAGGGTCTCTTTTATTAGTCCCCTGCATCTCAAAGTTTTTGTTCCTTTACACATTGTCGTTTGCCTGTTAATTGTGTATAATAGTTGACAGGGCATAAGAAGCATTGTTGCAATAACTGACACTAATTGTTTTCATGTCCTTACTTTATACAACAGCCAGATGGTATATAATGCTCAACGTGTAAAATTCTTATGTGATATTTCCGCAGTTTTGAGGATGTAAATGTCTCAGGGACCTTCATTGAAAATATCACCATATTGAAATGTGTTAACAGCAAGAGCTTGCCACTGAGCCAGATGAATGCAGTCTATACCCTCCCATCCACACCTAGGTCCTCCTAGTGGTCTCCTTCCTTTGGGTTTTCCTATCAAAATGTTGCATTCACGTTGTTTCTCTCCTGTGGGTGCTACATGTCTTTACCTCATCCAAGGAGGATGAGAAGGGTAGAGCATGAAGCACATATATGAGAAATCAGAGTTAAATTATATGATTTTTATGTATATGGCACACAGTGAGAGATAATGTTAACAGGAAATGACAGATTATGTGTTTTTGGAAATATTTTGTCAGACATAGAGGTCTACTTAGGAGCAGAAGTTTTTTTTTCACTTTGAAACACTGTTTAAAGTAAGAAAGGTTACGTTGCACAGGATGTTCCACATCCTACAGTCATTTGACTAACTTTGGTTCTGTGGAATGCAGTGTAATGTAAATGCAGTTGCTTGTTACTGTGCAGGAACTAGTCTTCAGTTCTGGTGATAAGAGTTCCATGATTAAACAGAGACCATGAAGTATATCTGATTGATGCTGTGCATGCATTTGTAATTCTAAACTGTCATTAAAGAAACAAGGAATGGTATTTGAATTGTATGTGATGTGCTCCATCATCCTTAGCTCAGTATTTTTCTTCCTTCTCTTTGGCACATTGTCCTAATAAATGTGAAATACAGGGATTCTTCAGCAGGGCTTGAAAAATTCAGGCCAGCTCACTTAAAATGAATTGATTCTGTGAGCCATTGAGTATAAATTCAAAACGTATTGTCTAGAAGGGTCCTCATTTTTCTGCAGGAAGTGAGTAGCTACTGGTACATAAGTTAGAGATGTTTTGTAGTTTACATTGGATTTGTGGTTATCCCAGCATAATATGTACCATTAAATGTACATAAGGTATTTTTTAAAGGCTTTGGAAGGGGAAATGAATTTCTACTTCAGCAGGTAGGACTTGGCATCATTTTTCAAGCTCTTGTTATTAGTGACATTAGTACCCACCTCAGTATTTAGTGCAGGATTGTCAGTATAAATATAATTGCTCCTTGCTTGTTTACCTTGACAACAATTGAAATGATACTGAGCCACTTTCCTGGTGCTTCCCCCAAGCATTCTATTCCTCTGATGGTGAGTTCATGTACAACAGCAGTACCGGCAAATACTAATTCATTCTCATGGGCTGGAATGTTGTGTTTAGTCCAACTTTGTGTTTGCACTTAGCATTTGCACCATGACTCTTAATTGTATTGCTTTGCAGGCAACTGGGCGGTCAGGATCTCGTGGCGGTGGTGGTGAAGATGTGGACCTTCGTCTCCTGGTGCATCAGAGTCAGGCGGGTTGCATCATTGGCAAGTCAGGTTTCAAGATCAAAGAGCTGCGTGAGGTGAGTATAATTACCTATTATCTTTACAAGATTCATGGATGTTGAGAGGTAGCATTGCTACCTTTTGGGAAACTTAATTCATACAGTGACAACTCTTGCAGAGACTTGTATAATGTGAAATTATTGTTTTGTAATGCTCATAGAGGGGACAGTTGAGCCTAGTACTGGAAAGAATGCCTCTTATTGACAAATAAAGTAATATTTGTAATAGTATATGGTGTAAGTTTGTTCCAGTATAGTTAAGTTCTGTAATGATCAGGTAATTCCAGAGTAGGGCACAAAATTCCACCTTCAGTCATGATTCAGTACACAGATTATTTATCTATCTTATATATTGTACATTGGAAATACAGGGAGTACCAGACGTCACTGAGTTTTTGAACCTGGATTGAGTCTTAGGTCTCGTGTGTAATCCTTTGCCACACAAATTTAAACACCATGTTTGGTGTATTGTAGCTGATGTTCCAGTTACACATATGTTCACAGTCTTTTGTTATTTTTATACTTCCATTTATTTAAATTGTATGTCATAATGTGGTTTGGAAATTTCTTGTTCACAGAAAACTGGAGCTCGAATAAAAATATTCTCCAACTGCTGCCCCCAGAGCACTGAAAGAATATGTCAGATTTCAGGGCGACCAAACACATGCATAGATTCCATACGAGAGATAATGGAACTTATCAAAACTGTGAGTTTTCTCTGTAATATACTATTGTTGTTATTAATCTTTTCAGTGGTTATCCCCAGAGTAAAAGGCCAAAGATCAAGATTTGCGGTTTGCTTTGTTTAATCTTCATGTTCGAATATTTACATCACTTCAAGTGGCTGCACTTTTGATAAGTGTACATTCTAATTTAAATTCATATGGAGGTAAATATGCTAATTTAGAATCTTGTAATGTTTTATGAACATTTTTTGTTTTATAGTCTCCAATCAAGGGGATGAATAACCCATATGATCCACACAACTACGATGATTTTCATTCTCAAGAATATGGTGGCTTTGGAGATCAAGATGGCAAGGGAGGGCGTGGTGGCCCTGGAGGTGGAATGTATGGTGGTATGGGTGGGCCACCACCCATGGGCCGAGGTGGACGATTTGGACCTGGTGTTGGTGGAAACATGGGTCCTGGACCCCGTGGTCCTCGGGGAGGCATGGGGTAAGAAAAACTGTTTTGGTTTCTTTGCATGACTGCGATCTGTGTCTTCCTCATGCAACTCCTATATAATGGCACCCATAGACATAGTCTTGTTAAGAAGGGAATGGAATAGTTGATTGGGCCAGTTGTCTGTTCCTGAATAGAAATGTCCAGCTTGACACAAAAAATTTAAGTCCGTTAATTTTTCAGAATACCTTCCCTGACTTTGTAGATCAGAGAAATGCTTTATATGCTGTTTTTACCATCTGTGTACCATATAACAGTGTTAATTAAATTTTGGGTGTGTGATGATGTGTGCACATTTATTTTTCTTAGCTTGCTAGAATTATTAGAAATGTTTAAAATACTGCACTTCTCTATTTGTTACTTAACACAGTTTTCATTCGAAAATATTTTGCTGCACAAAAATATCCACGGTTTTCTTAAGGGTAAAATAAAAGTGTTTGTGTCACAGCTAAACAGATAACTTCTCTTGCAGAGGTCCTGGAGGGATGGGTCCTGTTCGGGGTGGAGGCTTCGGAGGAGGTCGTGGGGGCTTTGGAGGAAACAGAGGTAAAAGATTCTTCTCTTAAAAACTTAATGGACAGTCTAATTTTTGTAATGGGATCTTTGAAAAAGCATATTCACTAGTTCCTGCTGTAAGAAGATCCATTTTTAAGTTGGTTTCCCACATAAGAAATTAAAGTAAACATGTTCCATAATTACCACCTTGAGAATAAGAACAGTGTATTCAGATCTTTTTAAAATATTTCTTGCATAAAATGATTTGAAGTTATTGATTGGTACTCTTTGAATAATAATAGATATAAATTCATGATCGATCCCTGCCTAAGAAGGGAAGTTAAAAGCATGTATCAGACAATGTACCCATTAATAAGTTGGGTCAAATTCTGTAATAATGCAGAAATAAACAAACAAAGATCAACCAGCGCCTTGCAAGAGCTCGGTGAGTACTAGGAAGTTAAGCAGTGCAGTGCAGTTGGTTGCATTTTGTACAAATTTGAAATAGTGCGATATAAAAAAATATTAATACAGTCCCACTTCATGTGCAAATGTTTCAAAACTGAGAGAAAAATTGTCTTGAATGCGAGGTCTTCAGAAATGCAGGGGGCACATGGTAGCATAGTTGGTTGAGGCACTATGCTACAAGCTGGAAAGTCACGAGTTCAATTCCTGATGTGGTCATTGAATTAATTTTCCTGGGAGCAAACAGCAGCCAATGTGTAAGGCTCATAACCTTAACAACATCTGTTAGCTGATTGTCTAGAAAATGTGGGAGCCTTGACGTCTCACAACCCTGTGGCCTGTTAACAGGGATCGCTTTACCTTTTACCCTCAGAAATGCATCCCTCACATAAAAAGCCACCATACTGTACTAGCAGCAACTCTGACAAAAGCTGTGACTGTGCCACTTGTTGCCCTTCCTCCTCTAGTGGAAGCTGGTTGTAACATGTCTTTACATGCTAGCCTATGTGCAGTGAACACGTTTTGAATTCTGTGAAATTTTGTGCGTACTCAGTTTTATATTATTGTATTATGTTTTAAATATTGTATGTAAATTTTATAATTTTAAACATGGCTGCAAAGGCCAGCATAAAACAAGGCATTAGCAGCAGTTTCTGGGAAAGTGGAGTTAGTTAAGATGGATGCTCAGTCATGTGTGAGATGCCTGAAGTTGGTAGAATGTCTACTTCAGCAATGTGTAACTGCTCAGCCAAACAAAAACAAGTTTTAAACTTGTAAATACAAGAGGGTCACATCAGTAGTGGTGTGTTTTAGGCAGAAACAGGCATAAGTATGCTGACTCTAGGTTGTATATTTAGTTAGGTGGTTCGAGAAGTTGCCTCAAAACTCAGTATTGAATTCACATCAAGAAACAGATTAATTGACATTAGCATGGTGTAATAATGTGTGTATTAATGTATGGCATCATAGATGACTTCAAAGTATCTTTACAACTTTTGGAGACACTTGAAAATGTGTCATTATATATAATTGTTGCCAGGCTTGCCAAGTTTCATTGGCTACAACAGTTTTTGCATTTACACATGGCTGTATTAAGTAGGCCTGTTTCATTACTTCATAATTTTACATTTTTGTACCTCCATGTCTCAGTTCACTTGTGTACTAAAGCCACAGAGTTTTTTGTTTGTTTGTCTTTGCTTTTTGAGGGATGAGAAAAATTGGAGCAAGTTCAAGTACACAGTTTCCAGTGACATTACTTTCCAAGGAGAATTTCAGTGTCATTGTTTCCTGTGTTAGTTGATTGGTCAAGGGTGACCAGTTTAGTGGCCTTGTTATTCACCTGGCTTGACAGATTTTAATTTTAACAGGATTTGTCAAAGAAAAAGTGTTCAATCATCCTTGCAAAGAAATGTGATGGAACTCAAAGGAGAAATTAATGGTGCAGTGAGAGGTGTTATGCCTGATATGACATTGTGTGTGTGTGTGTTTTCTCTCTCTCTCTATCTCTCGGAAGCTGGGACAGTTGCTTTGTGCTTACCTAGAATATTCTGCATTTTGTTCTCTGATTTTATGTTCACTTACTCTGATATTGAAGTTACAGAATATTTGTCGAAAGATGTGGACTGTACATCCTGTCCTGAGTGACATGTTAATACAACAGTGTGAATTCTGGTTTAAATCTTAGAATGTAACACCATGTAGTGTGTCGATTTTGTTTTGTGGTAGCAGTAACAGGTCACCTGGACCTCACATCGGGAACAGTAGTGTTGTATATGCAGTAAAAATCTGTTTTGAAGGGTGTAGAAAGCAGAAGAGATGGTTGATAGAGAATTATTTGCAGTATAGAAATTCATGCAGTGTTCTATATCCATGTAAGATATGCCTTAGGAACAATTATAGGTACAGCCCACATTCTGAGATGTGGCCTCTGGATTATACATGAAAAATATGGCAAGAAATAGTGAGGTAGTTGTGCTGTGTTGAGGGAGGGAGGGTGATGCAGCATAACTAGGCTGTGTTACAATTCATACATGCCATATAATCCCCGTCTCACAAGGGAATTGTCTGATCCGACATGTCGAAACCTGTCCTGATTTTTTTTTTCACTGCAAGAGTACACACAACAAAATCCACTGTCAAAATTTTAGCTGCTAATATGCATGGCAAGTATATTTTAAAAATTGCTGAAGTTACTAATTTTTTCTGTGTGCGGAACCGCATGTACCAGAGGTTTGTACAACCCCAGCCTAGGCTGTGAGTGAGCCATGTTGCATGTTGCGTACTGCTCTGCTAGGTGTGGACATTTCTCCAAGGGCCTGGCAGGCTACAATATTGGCCATGTTCAGCAATTTTTAAAAAATGCTTGCAGTGCATATTAGCAGCTAAAATTTTGACAGTGGATTTTGTTGTGTGTACTCTTGCAGTGAAAGAAAAAAATCAGGGCAGGTTTCGACATGTCGGATCGGACCATTCCCTTGTCAGTGGACCTTATGAAGTTTGTTGCATTTTCTGTTCAGAATAGATAGGTCTAAAACATTGACAGCATCTACAGAGCGGACATTCATAAAGCAGACATTGTGGTAGAATGGTTAATGTTCTTTGTGTTCTGCAGTTTTTCTTTATTGCTTCCAGCTTTCTAGTCCTCCTCCCCCACATTAGTTGGTCACAATTCCATATGACAAAATCATGGGCTTATTCATTGGTTGAGCCTATTATGGTTTCTTGGCTTGACATCCAATTCATGCATTACTGAAGCTTCTGGTTGAATTGTGATTCCTGTTATTCATTGAATGGCGATAACCTAGTTCATTTTAGAATGAACTTGTGCAGACATTAATAATAATGTGGTAATTTCACCTCAGACTTTTGTTGCTTGTTGAGAAACTTTTTTCACAGTTTGACTTTTTATTCCTAGAGAGAGAACTGTTCTTAGAAATGCTGGACAGTGTTACAGAATACTTTCTACAGAAAGATGTACTTGGTAACAAATAGTGTAGCGAGCATTAGTGGCAGTGGCAAAATTGGACAGATTACTTGAGCACTTAGCAAATAGTACAGCAAGTATAATTATCATAACATTTATTATATGCAAGGTCTGTGAATTGTACAGAATGCAAAATGGAAATATGTCTTATCACTGAAATCTCTTAACTGTGCTGTGATCTGAGTTTGTTGTAGATAACAGTTCATTAAATGTATTTCTTTGTTTGCAGTATGTTTATTTAATATCTAACTCAGACTGTTAAGAGTGCCAACTGGATTATAGGAAACGGTGAATTGAAGAGTATGGCAGGAAGTGGTTGAGGGCTAATTCAGAATCCTATCCTGACATTCGCTTGGAAGTAGTGAGGAAAACCTCAAAACCCATGTCAGGATAGTGTTTGTCCCATCCAAGATTTGAACCAGAAGCCTCCTAAATATGAGTCAGAATTATTACCACCTGTGCTGTGCTACTGCATATATTTGACTGCTTCTTATAGGATAGTTTGATGTTGTATGGTCTTTGGTATAGGCTGCTTTGTGTAGGAACGCTGATGACTCAGATGTAATTTGTTTTTTCTGTATATCCTCCAGTTGGAAGATGGAGAATAGAGGGAAATGTTAACAGTGTATAGAACTGTCAACAGTAATTGTAACCTGAATGTTATATGTGTGAGATTTATGGATCTGAGAGAAGGAAAAAAATTAACTCAAATATTCTGTTTTATAGGTGTGTAATATACACTCAACCCTCGATTATCCGGGATAATGGTGGGGATGGAAATCACGATTAATCGAAAACCCAGTTAAGACAAATTTTATTAAAAGTAGTACTGTAATACTATACCTTCATAATACTATAGGCCTCCCTGTATTTAAATTTATTCAACCTCGTTTTTATGTCATCTCATGGCCTATGTAATACTCTTTTTACATTACACTGAAGTATGAATTAGTTATTTCAATCACAGTGTTCAACAGCATCCAACACTTTTTACGAATATTCACACTTAATATTGTCGTTTGCTTTTTTGCAGCATTTTCCTTTTTACAGATATCTGTATGAAGCCTACATAATATTAGCTTGTCACTTAATAAACTCTTCTCTTCACTATCAAGATAGTCTGGTAAGGATTCCAAATGATTAAGAGCAGCACCTTGTGATATTTTCTTACTAGCAGCAGCGTCCACATCTTCCTCATTCTCACTTTCTTCTCACTCTTCTGGCTGCACCCCCACTGCTTAACATTTCAAAGCCCGGTTCACACGAGTTTCTGTTCAATACTTATCACAACACGCTTCCTTTTACACCCTGACATTTTGCTAATGCACGTGAAGATCGATACAAAAAGACTAACTCGGGCGGTCTGTCTGTCCTTGAAATTTTCCACAAATCCTTGCATTCTTTCACCCCTACCCTACAACATTGTGTTAGCATAACGGGACCAAAAATGCAGAGCTCGGTTCATACTAGTGCAAAAACTGTGTTACAACTCACCATGTGAAACAAAAGTGAATGAATATTAAACAACATATAAGCCTCAAAACAGCCCCAGTTAAGCCGCAAACCAGTTTATCTGCCCCCAGATAATCGAGAGTTGAGTGTATATGCATGATGTAATTTTTTAAGCAAAATGTGCACACTTTTGTGTAGTATGTGACTGAGAAGAGCCAAGAGGAAGTTGAATATAGTTTCATTGGATTAATTGTAAATTTTTAGATTGTTTTCTTAGTTTTACACTTCCGCTTGCTATTATGTTTATATTCCGTTCACTGTAACCCTTGTATTGGCAGCAGTGATGATATATGATTTTCAGGCTGTCATGTGAAAGGTGAATGCCATGTAATGGAGGCCTCTGTGCCAAGTAGAACACAAGAGTCCTTGTAAATCTAATTGCTTTGTAGCGTCAGCATCTGCATCAGCCATTTACATTTGGGCAGAACTTGCTTTTCCAGTTTGATTAGTGGCTTTTCAGGGTGGTCAGGATTTGAACTGTGTGCTTCTGAGTCATGGCATCCTGTAGTGTGGTATTTATTGGTTACTAATGTTTTGGATTATATCCCCCTTTTTGGCTGAAGACGAGACTAGAACCACCTTCTGACCCATTGCATTGTAGCAGAAAACATAGGTGAATGAGACTGTCCAGGGTATTAAGACTTGTGTGCCTTTGTCAGAAATACTCAGAAATAACAGCAATTCATTGTTTTGGTGAATTTATTTAGCTGGATAATATTGTATACCAGAATTGACTGTGCCACAGACAAATCTTTCAGAGAGAAAATTTCCAAATACACTCAACTCCCAATTATCCGGGATAATGGTGAGGATGGAAATCACGATTATTCGAAAACCTGGTTAAGACAAATTTTATTAAAAGTAGTACTGTAATACTGTACCTTCATAGTACTGTAGGCCTACCTGTATTTAAATTTATTCAACCTCATTTTTATGTCATCTCATGGCCTATTTAATACTTTTTTTACATTACACTTCAGTATGAATTAGTTATTTCAATCACAGTGTTCAACAGCATCCAACACTTTTTACGAATATTCAGACTTAACACTTAAAAAAAATTAATATTGTCGTTTTCTTTTTGCGGCTTCTCCCTTTTTACGGATATCCATACAAAACCTACGTAATATTAGCTTGTCACTTAATAAACTGTTCTCTTCACTCTCAAGATAGTCTAGTAAGGATTCCAAATGATTAAGAGCAGCACCATGTGGTACTTTCTTACTAGCATCACTGTCCACCTCTTCTTCATTCTCACTTTCTTCCCGCTCTTCTGACTGCACCACCACTGAACTTACGGTTTCGTCACTGCTTAACATTTCGAAGCCCGGCTCACACGAGTTACTGTTGAATACTTAACACAACACGCTTCCTTTTACACCCTGACATTTTGCTAATGTACTTGAAGATCAATACAAAGAGACTAATTGGGGCGGTGTATCTGTCCTTGAAACTTTCCACAAATCCTTGCATTCTTTCACCCCTACCCTAGAACACTGTGTTAGCATAACGGGACCAAAAAATGCTGAGATCGGTTCACACTAGTGCGAAAATAGTGTTTCAACTCACCATGTGAAACAAAAGTGAATGAATGTTAAACAACATATAAGCCTCAGAAAAGCCCCGGTTAAGCTGCAAACCGGTTAATCTGCCCCCGGATAATCGAGAGTTAAGTGTATCAGTGAAACAATCCAAGGAACTTCACTTAGTGGCATATTTCAGGCAATTTTGCCATTGCATCAGATCAGTATCAAGCCTATCAAACGGTTCCTGGTGGACAAACAGATGTCAGAATGACATCCAGAGGTGCAAGAAAGCATTGAAAGTCTACAAATCCAACCACACTCTTCAGAACTTAGTACAGTTTGGAAGACTGAGCACAAGCAAGGGGAATCATAAAAGAATGCAGAGATTCATTTGGTATACTTTTCATGATACCACATGGTTTCTCTTTATGCAGTGGTGGTTAAGGTCTTGTTGCTCTTTATGTATTATCTTTAATCAGTAGAAAATTGATTATCTGAATTGTCTGAGCTTTGTGCAAGGTGTCACCTGGACAGAGGTTATTCTGAATAAAATGTGCACAATCTGCTTCTATAGTCTGATTTATTATAAATCTCATTCCATGTTTCAGTCTGGTTATCTTTGTCTTACATGTGACATTGTGCTTGTGGTTAATTACTTTTTGTTCATTGAATCACACCAACTTCCAGATAGTAACAGGATGGTCATGAGGTAGTAATCTTGTCCTCTCTCCAAGGTTTCTGTAAGGATAAATTGTCATGTTTAAATAAAGTTGGTGATAATTCATAGTTCATTGAATGTTTTAACCTAATAACTTCTAAGCTTGTTGTACAAGAAATGCCAGTCTCTGTTGTAAAAATTGAATAATACTATCTCCAAGAAGTGTAAGAAGAGTATTGTCTTCAGGCATGTTATACCATGTAGCCTGGTACACTACTAGACTAGGTTGTGAACAACTGTCAGACTATGTGGCGCCACATACCATGTATTCTTTATAGTCACTGCTTTGAGAATCTCAAAACTTGCATTATAATAATATTAAGTAGATAACAATTATTGTCTGATTAAAAAAGATGTGTCAGACAGGATCATGTCATAATTTATGTGCACAGTCAATTTTATTTCCTTCCCATTGGAAAGCTCTTTGGTATAAACCAGAGGCAATTCACCCACTTTTTGAGTGAGTATTGAAAATGAAAACTGTTCTTTCACTTTATTAATTTCCCAGTTGCTGTCTCCTTTGAGAGATAATTAACTTTTATTCCTTGTGTCCTGTGCTCATTACACTCATTGCTTAGAATGAACATGTACTGGAACAAATGACCATCCAAAACCATTCTGTAGAGTTTGGTGGAATTTTGTAATTGGTGTCTACACAAAAATTTTCATTTAATTTCTGTTTGGACCTTTTTGTGTATTACGTGCTACTTTACAGAAAGCTGGAATAAAACTTCATATTTCAAAAAAATAATTTGAATTTGGAATATTTTTAATATTGTACATATTTAACAAAATAAAAAATAAGATGTACTTGTACTGTTGAAGAGCTTTGTATATGAACACTTGAGATGAATCAGGGACCCAAATTGCAAATAGTACATTTGGAACTGTAATCAAAAATGGAGTTAACGTTTGCTCTCTTGTTGCAGGTATTTCTGCATTTCATAATGCCAGAATGAGTGTTGTTCCTTCTTGTGATTAATTACATGAACTGTGACATCTAATGACCCCATTGCTTCTTGATTGTAGCATCCTTAATGTATTCATTCAGTGAGACGCTTACATTTTGAGGACTTAATGAAGATGCAATATTCATTTCATTTCATGGTGACGATTAGCTGTGTCAAGTATTATGTCTGAGTTTTGATTGTCATAGAGCAGGAAGATGTTTTCCAGTGTGTTGAAAACTTCAGAAACCTCTAATTATACCATCTATTGAACATTATTCAATAGGAATGATAGCCATTGCACTATGCCATCCAGTGTTCTTGTCCATAGTTCTGATATCATATTTAACTTACAATTTTCATAGGTCCTGTCATTTAATGAAATAATAAAAGTGATAACAAGAATTTTAATATTTGGTTGGTCTGCAGCATTCGTTAGACTTTCTCTCTCTCTGTCTCAAAATCCAGGAACACAATTGTCCTAAGTTATTTTGGGTATTCTGCCTGAGCAAGTGAAAGACAGTTTCTTCATATTTGTTCTGGTGGTAATTTTCCCTGCTTTCATTAATTCTTGTACATCCAGCCATCACAGTTGTAGATAAGCAAGACGTAAGCAGAGAGCCAACTGTCTGTCTTTTTGAAATATCATACCATGCTACAGAATATATACGTATTGGTATACGTAGCTGCAGATTTTTAACTGCCTGTATACAATAGACTGTGAAATATGATTGTGAAAGTGCACAAATCCGTATTGGTTGCAGGAGCTAGAAGACTGAGCACGTGGAGGTCTTGTGGATATAATGGACAGAACCTTCAGTAACAGCAAAGTGCACACCTTAGTAGATTATCTTCAAAGAAAAAAGGAATATAATTTTTTTTAGTTCTGATGTATTGTAATTGAAACTTGGAGAGATAGGATGGGATGGTATGAATTGGATTGGTCTGGCTCAGGACAGAGACCAGTAGAGATATCTTGTGAAGACGGCAATGAACATTTGGGTTCCATAAAATGCTGGGAAGTTATTGAGTAGCTGCACAATTGGTGGCTTCTCAAGAAGGGCTCAGCTCCAAGAGTGGGTGATATATTGTAATGAGGGTTCATTTTCTCCGAGGCATAAGAGCCACACATGCAAATACACAAGATGTGATTGATTTGCCCTCTGTTTTAACTACTCTTTTATATTGTTTAGATACTTGAAATTTGAATAACATAATTATTCTTATATGCAGAATCGTTGATCTGTTTCTGCCAATTGGGTGGAACATTGGATAAATATTAGAAACACTGGGCTGCATTATATTACACCATGAAAACAGATGTGCTTAGACTTTTTCTTGCATTATGCTATGTTAAATTATTGATCGATCTCATTGATATCTTCCTGAATTATTAGGAGATCTTAGAGCTGGAAGATGTGATATTTGAAGCCAAAATTATCTTTGTTTTAGGAAATGCGTCAAATGGGATGATGAGCAATTCGCCAATGAACATGGGTGGTGGCAACAGTGGAGGGCAGGGCCCAATGCTTGGAGGAGGAAAGGGGTCTACTCAAGTTACAATCCCCAAAGATGTAGGTATTCATGATTTGTTCCAGTTTTGTTTAAAGTGGATCATTTAATTTATGGTTCACTTTAAAGTACATTAATGGGAATGTGACCAGAATTTTCATGTTTTCAAAGCATTTTGTTCACAAGTGAAGCTTTATTAATAAACTGCTTTCCCCACACCCCCAATTGAAACGCTTCATTCTGGCGTTAGAAATTCCCTGCCGAGTACAGGATGGGCAGTGGTAGATTGTGACTTATAAGACTGATTTACCATATTTGTAAGTAAAACAGAATTGTCCTGAATATAAGATAGCTTCAGATGGAGTTGATGCCAGTTAAATGCACCATTAATTTGATCTAGTTTACCAGTATCTAGTAGGAATTAAAGGGTGTGTGGATTACCTAAAGGTGGCGAGCAAGCGAGTTCTTTTGTTCTGCATATCGGTGCTATGTGTGGACAATTAAAATCAAGCAGGCTGGACAGAATGTGCACACATATATGTACATAACATATCAGTTGTACGTATATGAAAGTTTTCAGTCTGTTTTATTCTTCAGTTGGCAGGTGCCATTATTGGAAAGGGTGGAGCAAGGATACGTAAAATACGATCTGATTCTGGAGCAGGGATCACCATTGATGAACCTTTGCCTGGTTCCAATGATCGTATAATCACAATAACTGGCTCACCCAATCAAATACAAATGGCTCAGTATCTCCTTCAGCAGAGGTAAGCATCTATGTATATTGGTTGGTGGTGTGATGACGTGTTGGTGTGTACAGCTCTTATCTCTTTACCTAAGAGTAGATGGATGTATTAGTCTTATGACCATGGGTATGGTGCTGAACTTCTCTTCTTATGTGACTTTTGTATTCAGTTTGCTGCAATGTTTGTAGTCGTAACAGATCTGTTGTATAGTTGCTCTGTGAGCAGCAGAATGGCAGCCATCTGTGGCTGTAGCTGAATCATTAGTTGGTGTCTTTGAACAAACTTTAACAGTAGCTTATTCTTTTTTCAATTGATCTGGGTTAAAAGGTAGGGATGAATTATTTGTGTATGAGATGGGGAGAGGCTAGTTCCATGTCATTTTCAACAATAGAAGTTCATTAAGAAATAGTTTGGAATTGACTACTTTAGAGACCTCACTTCACACTTGTGTGATTTCAGAAGAAGAAACAAGTGTTGTGACTAATGATCTGGTACATTGTGGGCTGGAGAGAGCTGTTCTTCTTTTTTTTTAGTAAACTTCATTACATGGCACTTTTAGAGTCTACAGGGAGCAAAGAACTTGATTGTCCCCCAACTCATTCTTAGCCAGGACTGTAATAGCAACTTAATCCAACCAAGTGACTGTATTAGAACCATATTGATAAATGGTAAAGTAAATAAATTGTATTAGACTTTTCTTCCAGTTAGCTTACCCATGTGATGTTAAATAACAGAACTCAATTCCATTCTTAACATGTTAGTTCGTTCACTGATAATTTATCTGTTTTGTATTTGTAAGATAAGAAGTTTGGACCTCAGCTGAGGAGCCAGTATCCTGACTGGGATTTTTCATTTTTCATCAGTCTATTCAGATAAATGACAGGATAATACTTGCACGTGGGCCACAACAGCTTCCTTCCAGATTCATCCGTTTGCATCTTACTTAGTTCTAAACAGCCTTTCGTGTAGCATCAATAAATTTATAGATATACAAGGACAATTTGCAACAGACCGAGAGTTTGTTGCTGTGTGGTGATTTATTGTGACCAAATGATACAGAATTGTCATTGCTGAATCTGAAGCAGGCAATTTTTGAAACAAAGCATCTTGGACAGTGGTACTGCTGTACTCTTGAATGCGGTGTTCCAGTGGTTATAAAGTAATTAGTAGAGAACTGTTTCTGGCATTTTACAGCTGTTTTAATATTGAATAAATCCTCTATTCAGGCCGGAAGGAAATGCATTCAGTGCCACTGTACCGGAGCTTCTCTTATCATCTGTAACTTACTTGGTAATCTCTGTGATATCAGTTTATAATTTGTGGTACTTCTACCAGACTTACATAAACTTTCATTCTTTTCATTCTGGTTTTCAGAAAATATTGTAATTTTACAGTAACTGTCTGTGTTGAGTTGTTTTCCTCTGATAGCAGCTTTATTATGGGGACATGTTTTTATGTGTCTGCTGAGAATATGTTACTAAGAGCTTCCAGGAAACAACTTGGGCATGTGGTGCATGTGTGTGATGAGTGTGGGTGCTGGCTTAGTTTATTCTCATTTTTAATAGTGTGTTGTGAGCTGTGTGGTATGTACAGATTTATCAGAATGATATGAATTTCATAGATTTTACACTAAAACTTGTTAGAGAGTGGTGATGGTGCTTTAAATCTTGTATGCTTCCAATGCCATTAGCAACAGTTGTATGTACAGAGTACAGAAATGAAATTCCCAGGCATGCAAAATTTTTCTTCTGATTCTCTCAAAGCCTAAACAGTGCCAGCATTGATTAGATTAATGGCAAAATAAAATTCATGGAGTAATCATCAGTTTTATATATATATAGGACTGTTGTTTTCTTTTCCCCTGAACATTCTGTGAAAATATAAAAAAAAAATACTATTTTGGCATGAAGTGTCTACGAAAGCTGGCACTGGAATGGTTAATGGCGGAATAATGGAATCACAGATCCAACAAGCTTGAGAACTCTGTTCTGACAGTGTTTGAAAGGGTATGGTTATCTTGGTGGTGTTGGTACTGTGGCATATTACTGTTTGGATACAGAGTATTAGAACCTAACATTTGTAGCAGAGTTACATCTCTTGTCTTTTGAAAATTGTGGGACATGTAGACCACACTCCATTTTCAACTAGATTGTGACTCCTCCAGGTCCTCTGCCAGACTCACCCTATCAACATTTATGAATTCACATTCATTTAAATGTGAAATTTATACCTGGAGGTTTGAATATACCTCAGAGGGGAGTTTTTCATAAAACTTACCTCAGACATTTGGTTAATATTGTTTCAAATAAGATTGCGCCCTGTAAATTCAAACACAATGGACTTGATGCATTGTCATAGTTAAGTGACCTCAGGGATTAATGGTTTATATGTCCCATAGACAGTTTGGGATGCAAGTATTGTTGGAGTAGTGAAGAACTGTAACTAATTTGAAGAAGAATTGCAAGTAACTAACCTTGGTCATTGTTGTGTGGAAGACTAGTGATTTTGTTGTTCTTTAATTGAGAAACAAGGAATCGCTAATCATCCTACAAAGATGGCTGCATGCTTCAGGGACAGCTCCGGCTTGCTGCATGTGGGTAACATTTTGTAATACCATGTACACACAGTCCTTAGCTGTCGCAGATGTCAGAATAGTTGTGCTGATGCAAAGTTTGGAACTGGATATGAAGAGGTGTTGTGATAGATAATTCTCCCATTTCCCAAATTAGTATATCATTGTGCCCTGATGGGCTGCCAGGTGTCAAGAGGCACTTGCGGAAATTATGCTTGTTTTATTTTAATTTTATACCCAGCCTAGATTCACCTGCAAACGTAACTACAGTGCAATGCATAATTACTGTATTTTTTTTCCTTGGCACTACAGCCCCAGTGGGCCTAGGCCTACCTCCATGAACTTCTCCGTTCACTTCGGTTTTTCTAGATCTTACACATTCGGTAGGACTCCTTGGGCGGGTGATCAGCTTGTCGCAAGGCCTCTACCTGTACACAAACACAGAAAAACGTACGCACACACACAAACAAACAAACTAAACATCCGTGCCCTGAGTGGGATTCGAACCCACGATCCTGGTTTCCAAGCGAGCAGTACATGCTTTAGACCATTCGGCTACCATGACTGGCAGTTAATGTATTATGGGGACATAATTTTAAATAGAAGTACATGATGGGGCTGAGAAGAAATTGAACAGTATGCGAAAAGAAATATTGAATGGGTACTTGAGTGCTTTCAGTGAAATTTCAGTTAACAGTGGAATTTTGTTTTTGGCAGTTGAGTACCACCTGATGGTCAGCCATGTAACTCTTGCTATCCAGCATCACATTCTGAATTGTCTCAAATGCAGAAAATTGGAGAAACACATGACATAAACAATTTTCATTTCTGGCTACTGTTTCCACAGATGCTACCTCTGTTGATCGTCCCTTTATACATTAAATCATAATTTTACTGCATATGGACACTTGGCAGTGGAAACTTGTTTTCAGAAATGTTATTGAGACTGCAATGTTATCTGCTGTCCAGTCCCATGGCTACTTCATAGCTTTCTGTTTGGGTCTTTGGAGGAACATCTCAGCCAGCCTTCGACTTTTATATATATATATATATATATATATATTATCGAAATAAGACGAACAGAAGCACCAACCACTTTATATCTAAACAAAGCATAATCCAATTACAGAAAGCACATAGAAATGTATGCAAACAACAGATTCCCACCTGTGCACATTAAAGTGTGCCATACCATCTAGGTTCCTGCTTGAGAAGTGTATGTCAGTAAACTTTAGTAGTGTAACTTTATTGACAACTGGAAAAGAAATCTGCTGGAGCTGAATTCTTCTTAAAGCTTCATTGATTGCTCATAATTCGGTAATTAAAAGTTTTCAACCAGTGTACAAAATCTGCTTTGAGCAAACAGTTTTCAAAGTTTTGAGGCCAAGATGTGTGTAATATGAAAGTGTTACAAATCATTAATAAATTATGACAGTAATTTTTAATGAATGATTTTCATATTATATACTTGTCTGTATGATTTAAGTGTAATTGTAATAAGTATTATCACATTAGTAATAGAGGTAATTTGTTACTTGTTATAGGCCATTATATGTTGTATTATATCACGACCATTATTATTTTACATGCCTTATGAGTGATATTGATGTGTTGTTGGACACATTTTATTATGACCTTGTTAGAACATTTTGTGTAGTCAGCGTTTGTAGTTTTAGGAGACAGTAGTTTGTGTTAGTGTAGAGCTACTTACATGAACCCTCTGTGTTAAAAATTCTGTTATATATACCTACTGGCTTAGCCTCCAGGGAGAAACCCCACAGTTCCCTCTGGATATGAAGGTGAAGAGATGAATCTAATACCTGTACTGGGATTTGAATCCTGGTTGTCCAGCCATTGCCTGGTCACTTTACTGACTGCTGTATACTATTGTAACAGAAAGAAAATATGGGTCTCCATGCCTTTCTATAAGCTGTGGCCAATTTCTTTGCATGACAGCTTTTCTTGTGTACACTTCAATTTCAGTTGCCCTACTAATGAAGCAGCAGCAATAATCCAATTAAGTTCTTTCTTGGGTATAATGGTAACTGAAAGCATGAGTATGCAAAAGCACAGCCTCTTTTTTCCTCTTCTTTTCTTTTATTTCTGGTTCCATCTGAGCCCTTCCTCTTGTTAGTAGTGAGAAAGCTCTGTGCTAGTCACTCAGCCTCTAATCAGAATTTGGATACCAAAACAGTATTTCATCTGTGCACACCCACACATTGTGTTTGAGATTTAGTTTGTCTCTAAGACATTAATTTTTTACATTTATTGTTTTTTGGTTTGGAACTTATCACAGGAGAATCTTGATATAGCATATTGATAAGCATAACATTTCAGTTATAAAGAAAATGGAAGTGATACTGGGTTTTCGGACTTCATCCATTATCCTGGTTTTAAGATAACTAAGAAAAACACGACGTTTCGGAAACTGGATCTGTTTCAATCACTGGTCCAGTGATTGAGGCTAGCTCTTTCTAAGGGACCCAACAGAATAGGTGTTTTCCCTCAGCTGAGGATGGAAACAGATCCAGTTTCCGAAACGTGTTTTTCTTGGTTATCTTAAAACCAGGACGATGGATAAAGTCCGAAAACCCAATATCTCTGCTTGTTATACACCATCGTCAGAATCCTATAGAAAATGGAAGTGTTTGGTTAATAACAGTTCTATTTCTGTTCTCCATACTTATGCAAGAATAAAGGATTTTACTGCTCTCCATATATTCCCTGAAGTGGATTTTATTAATGTACTTGGTTTTGTCATTTTTTCAGCTGTCAGAGTGGTGCAGATTCTGGCAACTATTAAGGAACATGAGCAATGCAGCCTGTTAAAGGAAAGGTAAACATCTTCAAAATTGCTATTCTAATAATGGATATGGTGGTTGACATCTGTCAGAGCAAAGTACCGGCTCTGGATGACAACACAAAATACTTTCCCCCTGTTCCACACTATCACCCATCATGTGGTCAACCAGGTCACTGGCTGGAAAAGTTTTCTCTGGTATCAGAAAAAAAATTTAATAGTGCTTTACCTTTCCTTTAAATTCATGGATGGTGATACATGTACTGTCCTCTGTTCCCAAGAATTGTTATTCGCTTACATTGATCTGCATACAGTGAAACTTTTGAAGTTAAAATTAGCTAAAATATTGAGCTGAACTTTGGTGTTTTGTTTCATACAGTGATATCTGAATTACCAGTGCTTTGTTTCTTCGGGGAGCAGTGCATCTGAACACCAAATTCAGGAGAATATTAAATGATGGAAAACTTTAAAACAAGGAATTTCAAGTGAGGGGTTTCACTGTATTCTCATTTTAGTGAATTTATTTTAAGTACACTTTTATTACTGCTCGTATGGATCATCTGATTTATGGATTATTATCTGTGTATAGTTTTTGGTCCACTTGTCATTACTAGGTATATATTATTTTAGAGGTTTATAAAGCCATGTGTTGTGTAAGTAGGTACATGTCAACTGAATGTTCATCTTTGAGCAGGGGATATTGAGTGTGTCACTCTCCAGGCACATGCTGGAATATTGCCTTCAGATGTGCTATACCTGCCTTGTTCCATCTGTTCTTCACAATCAAATATTGCAGCTCATTCATTGCTTTATAACTGAAGTTGAAACCATTGTTGCACACTTAAATCTTAAGAATCTCCCTAGTCCTTCCATTATGTTTCTGTGATGGTGTGTAAAAAATTGTGAGACTGATCCAGTAACAGTGTAACTTCTTTTCCCTATCACTGTAATTTCCTTGTGGCTGAACATCCCTATTCCAGCAACTTAGAGAAGCACTCTTCTTTGAGGATGACCTCAGTTCTATTAGGTTTTCATTGATGCTCCCCTTACTGTCAAGTGTTTAAGTTCTGTTTCCAGTTTAGGAAGCAGGAAGAAATTATATGGGGCCAAATGGAGCTAGATACATTGTCATGGAATTGAGATGATAGTGTGTGGGTCTTCTGGGACATAACACTGAGTAGTATGGAGAAATCTATTAGATGTTCCAGAGGAAAATGTTGCTTCCATATTCAGGGTCAAAGATTAAGGCAAGCAAGCTTCATACTGGTTTCTTGGTTCTCTCACTTTCAGCCCTGAACATGGAAGTGGTATGTTCCTCTGAAATGTCATTCAGCTTTCACTGGACTACATGGCATCATATCCCAGTAGACAGAACTCTTCAGTCACCACTGTGAGAGCCTGAAATCCAGTGACACTTGAGTTTATAATCGGGAAGCATAGTTTTTACATAGCTAAAACTAAGCAGTAGAATTCTTTATTCATTTCTGGTATTTTTACATGCGGGTATAATTTACTGACAATATAACCTGTGTGAGAGCTGAAGATGATTTTCAACAAAACTTTTAAGAGTTTTCTAAGTAGAAAATGCTGCATGTATGGAATCATTATGCTCCTGTATTGTATATGCAGAATTCCATGCATAATCATTGTCTTCAAAATTTTGACTTTAGTTTAAGTATTAATTTCCTGAGGGTGTGGTTTTTTTTTCAGTGTCCAAGCAGACTCTTACAAGTTTATGTGAAAAGACAGGGAGGGACAGCTGACATGCCAGCAGTTGTTCAAGCTTGTGGAAGCGATAGCATTTTAATGAGAAGTATACAATATTTCGGTTCTGGCAGGATGAATTACTTTTCCTTGAGTTGCATTATGTAAACCATAGTTTTTTAAGTTAGTTCCATATGTAGACAACAAGAGTCATATTAATTTTATGTAGCTTGTACTTTGACCAGTAGATTTATGATTGTATGGATGTCTGTCACTTGTTATATGTCAGGTACCTGACTACAATATTGCTAACAACTGATCATACAAAGCACATTTTAGTGAAACTTTGTTGGTACAGTTATAGTTTTTTAACATAAACATTTGCAGTACAATAAAGCAGTGTGTGTATTCTGAAATATATATTTTTCTTGGTGTTAAGCTTTGATTGTGCCGGATGTGGTAGATAAAATATCTAAGGAACAGCAATGCATGAAGTTTTGTTATTCAAGAAATGAGTCAGTACAAATAATCATTGTATTCAATAGTTCATCTCCACTGAAGATACTACTTTATATTACAAACTCTTTGTACTAAAAAAAGTTACATGATTTTATTTCAGTGCCAGTAATAAATCCTGCAAAAACATTTTTTACATTAATTTTTTGATAATGTTCTGTGTTTACCTCATTACAACCCACCAAAGCAGCACTCACCATCACCCTCCTGCACTGTCACTGCTGTTGACGTGAATATAAAATATGTTTCTAAAAGCTGCAATCCTGCAGGCTGGTGAGACTGAGGACTTATAGAAAGTTGAAGGTTAGGTGAACCATGACCATTGTTAACACTCAGCAAAGCCAAAGTATGTGGCAGGATCATAAAATATGACCAAAAGAAATATGAGAACAATGAGTCACTACATCTGTTGTTCAGAAACTTCAATATAGGGATTATTGTGCTTTTTAGATGTAAATGCCAGAAAGGAATAGAAGAGCTCTTAATTGACACAGGTAAGAAGGTTGGTCCATGGTGGTGTAGTGTCACCAGAATTCAGGGCAAAACAACAAATAGGTAAGATATGCTTTGAAAATGTGTTGAAGTTAAAAGTGTGCAAATGACAAAATTTCATTCGTGGGGAAATTGAGAGCATTGTATTATGTAATGCTTGCTGCCATTCAGTTCAGAAGCTTTTGTTGTCATCTGTAAAGGCTGCGCCACAGCTCAAGCAGTTGCTGGCTTCCCATTGTAGCAGCCCGGGTTTGATCCCAGGTCCGGTCAAGTGGGATTTGTGGCGCTGGAGCAAGTTTTCTCTGAGTACTTCGGTTTACCCTGCCAATCTTCATTCCACCAACTGCTCCACAATCACCCTCACCTATCATCTGGGGCTGCTACAATAGGCCAGACGTGACCACAGTACAAGGGACTTCTCCCACCCCACTAGCAATAAAAAAGAAAATCTGTTCAAAAACTAAAACATATAAACCTATTATTTTGCCTGCAGTTTTGTGGGTGTGAAAACTGGGTCTCTGACATCAAGGGGAGAACATGGACTGGGGGTATTTTTAACTTAAGAGGGATGAAATAATAGAAAAATTGAGGGTATGGCTTAATGAGGAGCTTCATAACCTATATTCTTCGCCAAATACATACAATGTGAATGATAAGTCAAGAAGGGTGACATGCACAGGGCGTGCAGCAAGCATGGGAAGATTAATTCATACTTGCTTTTGATGAGAAGGCCAGAAGGGAAAGGACCACTATGAAGTATTATGTAGGTGGAGAATAATATTGAAGTGGGTCTTAGATACATGGGATAGTGTGGTATGGACTAGATTCATGTAGGTTAACACCACATCTACACAGTGCCACATCCCAGAAGACTGCTTTCTTCATAGATTCACTTGGCTTAGGTTAAGGGCCAGTGGCAGGCTCTTGTGAAAACGGTAATGAACTGTTGGGGAAATTCATGAGTAGCTGTGCGACCGGTGGCATCTCAAGGACCTGGAGTTAGCCAGGGCTATTTCTTATTTACTTCTCTTAATATGTGGTATTTTAATGCGCAAGTTTGACTATGAATTCCCACAAAAGTGGGTTAAAACTACTGTAAAACTTCATTTATTCCTAACCTGTAATTTGCAGTGCCTTCTTTTTATCAACTGGTTTTATTTACGTAGAACAGGCTTGACCCAAGTAGGGAGGTTGGTCTAGAAATAAACACGGAGAAAACTCAAGTATATGTTGCTGTCTTATCACCAAAATGCAGGGCAAAATAATGACATAAAGATAGGAAACACGTGTTTTGAAAATGTGGCACAGTTCAGATATTTGGGAACGACGATAACAAATCAAAACCTGATTGAGGAGGAAATTAAGAGGAGCCTGAACTCGGGTAATGCTTGCTACCATTCAGTGCAGAACCTTTTGTCTTCTCGGCTGCCATTTAAAAAAGTATCCGTATATTTCTCTCTGCGTTTTCTAGACCAACCTCTCAATTACTGTTTCCAAATTCTTCTTTACTGCATGTATGTTACCACCCTTTCTCTCTGCGTTTTCTAGACCAACCTCTCAATTAATGTTTCCAAATTCTTCTTTACTCCATGTATGTTACAACCCAATCTTCACATCGTAGTTAACTGATAACAGCGTCACAACCGGTCACAACTTTCTATTCGCTATTTCCGTGATACGAAAATCAGCCACAGAACAAATTATATTAATCCTTCATGTTTGCCAACTTGTAGTACAGCATAATGAATGATCATGAAGATCATGAATTTCGTACAGAGTTCATAGTTCCTTCTGCCAAAGAAGTGATGCTGTTCGGAACGGTCGATCCCACGTTGCGTTAACGACGCAAGTAGATGTAGGAAGTTGGCTCGGCTGGCAAAATCTGTATTCGCTTGTCTACCAATTTACCCCGTTAGACAGGCCCTCATCTGTGGCACCAACGAACACAGAATACTCACTTAAATTCTTAAGATTATTTTTACTTTGTCATTATTAGGTAAAACGGTTTTGTGTTGTTGGTCATCGTATGTTACAATTGTTGAATTCGCGTGGTTCCTATTGAATTTGTATAAAGCAATGAATGAGTGGGAAGGTTGTAGCCGACTGGAAATTTGACAATAATATTGTGATTTTTTGGCGTAGAAAATGTGTGTTTAAATATTAAAATGTGGAATTTAATAGGGGTGTTACTTTAAACCTATAAATGGGAATCCTAGAAAGTCTGAGAGAATATTGTGTCTTGTGGTAAATACGGATTGAAGGTGTAAGTATTAAATGGTATGATGTCTGTTATTGGTGATATCCACTGTAGTACTGAAGGGGAAGGGTTTGTCATAAACCGGGCATCGATATCTGTAACATGAAAGCCGATTTTGTTTTGTATGGGTGGTGCCCACATGATGCAAAGAAATAATACACATGAAACAAGTTCAATTTTAATATCTGACATGGCTAGAAGTTGAGAATATGTGCACCCGTAAAATAAATGTGAGTTGAATTTCGTGGGAATGGAGTGTTATGCTAGAATTAAGTATTATATTTCATATTCACATAACCATAAACTGCTTTGGCATATGACATGCGTAAATGCCTAATGGATAATAAAATACAAGAATCAGAGTCATAGTGGTTTAATCATTACATTTCTAGTAAAATATCGCTACCATGTAGTGGGTGAAGTTAATTTTAAATCCATGTTTATCATCATAACAGTCATGAATACTATATGCAGGCAGTAGTAAATTCGTAAGTTTCTCAGTCTGAATGCAAGTAATTGTGTTATGTAGTGTAAGGAGACATGATACTTCGAATGTACTGTTTCCTTTGATATGATTTCATTCAAGACAATTTTTTAAAGCTCTGTCTTAGTCTTGTGCAGTGTGTGCAGTGGTGTATAAACAGGTACATTCTTTGTTGATGGTAGTGATGAAACATGACTGGTTTTTGTTTTTTAGTGAGATGTCTGGAATGATTGGAGAGGGACAGCGTAGTCGCAGTGCCTCATCGGCTTCAACTTTTTCATCCTCCTTACCACCAGATGAGAATCTTAATGGGCGTCTTAGTGATTTTACATCACGTCACTGTTCTGTGCTACAGACACCACCAGCTCGCAAAGCTAAGCGTATCCGCTTCTACCGAAATGGTGATCGGTTTTATAAAGGAGTAATGATGGCTGTGACTCCTGAGAGGTATCGTTCGTTTGACAGCCTAGTAGCAGATCTGACACGTGCTCTTGTTGAAAATGTAAATATTCCCAGTGGTGTACGGACGCTGTTCACAATGGATGGGCAGAAAGTGGGAGGTCTTGATGAGTTAGAAGATGGTAAATGTTATGTATGCTCTGGTCTTGGTGAAACCTTCAAGAGGGTGGATTATTCGGCCAACAGGGTGCAAAGTGGAAAACTGAAACATCGGAAATCGCTCCCATCAATGCATCAACCATCAGAAACAACACGTTCACCTACTTCTCGTACCAGCATATCTGATGTTATCCGTCCTCGATTAATTACATTAATAAGGAATGGAACAAGGCCACGAAGAGTTGTACGATTGTTGCTAAACAAGAGGAATGCTCCCTCTCTTGATCATGCATTCTCCAGCATCACTGAAGCAGTGAAACTTGATTCTGGAGCTGTGCGAAAAGTGTTTACTTTGTCTGGTGCACAGGTGAGTCAGTTTATGACCATCCATCATATACTTGTTTCAAGGTTTATGGTTAATGCCTTACCATGAATATATCTTAAGACTAAAATTAGTAACAGGATAGAATTTTTCTTCTGGGGTAATTGAAGTAGCAAAATAATTCCTAATTTATTGCACCACTGCAAGCACAAAACTAAGATGGAGACCCACATTTTGAAAGACAAAGAATATGAAAATGTTTAATTTGAAGTTCATGGATATCTACTTTCATTGTACTACATATATGCATTGTATACTTAGGATAGGGACCAGTGGAGGGCTCTTGTGAACACAGTAATGAACCTTGGGGTTCCATAAAATGTTGGGAAATTCTTGAGTAGCTGCACAACTGGAAGCTTCTCAAGAAGGGTCAGTTCCATGAAGTTAGTTATATGCATTTTATATAATGGGGCATCCAGTATTTTCGTAACCACCTCTAGACCTATTTCATTTCAAATATGCGTGTGTATAGGATTTGAAATGAAAATAGGGTGTACTTTGGTGAAGTGCACAGCTTAATCTTGGTATCTCTTGGAACAGTTTCTCAGATTTCATGGGGTTGTGCATTTAGTACAATCACCAGTTTTATTTAGTCTTCAGCATTTTACGTATATGTGCTGTCAGCCTGTGTTAAACCCCCAAAATTTCTTGGATTCAAGTCTTGAGTAGGATGATGGCATTGAAAAGTGTGTACAAATCAGCAAAGAATTCAATTCAACTAATAATTTAAAGAAGTTTTAGCAGAAAGATTCAGTGATATTTCTATATATATGTTTCTTTTGAAAGCTGGCAGGTTGCATTCTGGAAGTATGTGTTGTGTGATTTTTAAGCAATGTAGTAGTTGACTTAAGGCAAAAGAATTGAACTTCAAGTATGTGAACAAAGGATCAGTTGGGTAAAATATATAGGAATAACACAGTGTAACTTCCTATTGAGTTGCATGGCTCCATTACCTCTCAGCTACTGGTTAACTGCAGCCTTCTTTCAGCTGGTCACTACTAGTTAATCTTAGTATTAGTATGGAATTACTTTATAAGAGTAAGTAATGTTGAAAATTCTATCTCTCTACACTCATACACTGTGTATGTTTTCACATATAGGGGTGAAATATAAGATGGGTTTTGGATTGGATGATGGGATTTATTAACACGTTATACATATGGACAACTTGGGACTGCAGGCAATACAGAGGTATCACTGTTGTATGCACTTTACAGTTCGCTATTCCACATGCACTAGTGTTCTTGATGTTTACTAGTCATATCTTGGCAAAAGATTTATCACAGTCTCACTGTCACTTAAATCACACATGAAGCCTTCCTTTCACAGTTTTTCCTTTCTTGCCATTATTCTGCAGCTGCAAATTCGGAAGCCTCGACTCAGTTCAATTTCAAGCTCATCCTGGCAGGCTGGTGCCTCAGAACTTGTCTCAACTCAACTACTGTTCCCTTACTACTTCGTCCTGACTTCTGACTGTGTTTTTATAACCCTTTGGCATGAATTACACAGAAAACACAGCCTTTATTGTTAAGGAGGCATGTTTACTGGTCTGTTTCCTAGCAGTGGACATCTTCTGTTGCATGCATATGCTTCGTGGAAATGTGTTTACCAAGTCGTTAACTCGTTACCTAGCAGTGGGTATACACGTGACAGTATTATTTAAACAGAATGGAATTTAAGAGAGAATTTCTTTGCAATTCAAACAATTTTGTGTTATATGGCCATTATTTAAGATTTTGTTGCTGATGATTTTATTCAAAACATCTCAGTGACTATTGCTTTGTTATATTCTAGTATAACCACTATTTTGTCTGCTCTCTTTACAGCAAGAACACCCTATTTCTTAGAATGTTTCATGTTTCTTGTTCTGACTTTAGTAATAGATTTATGGATGCCTGTTGTGCTTGGAATTGTGACTCCAGGAAGCTTATGGTTAAATTTTATCAGACACTGACTTTCAGACAACACAGAAATGAATCTTTGGGTTTCATAAAAGGTGGGAAATTTGTTGACTAGGTAAGCAGTTATTGGCTCTCAGTAAAGACTGCTCCATGGATTTATTACTTACATATGACTAATTTATTGATTCCGTGAATATCTTGGGCTGTATAGTATCAAATGGTAGAATTCTTGGTGACTAGCGAATATGAGAGGATATGGAAGGAAGCAGTCACAGCTTAATTTGAAATAATACCCCAACATTTACCTGGAGGGCAAAGCATAAAAACCTGTCAGGATAATCAGTGTCCTTGCAGATATTTTAACTAGATCCCTTCTGAATACAAATCAGAAGTGTTCCCGCATAAGCTAACTTGTTCAGTACTTGTCTTTATGGTTTTTTCTGAGTTTGTTATGTAGTCGATTGTTTCTGTCTGTTGTTGCAGGTGACACAGCTAGAAGACTTCTTTGGGAGTACAGATGTGTTTTTTGCATATGGAAATGAAAGGTATTCAAGAGAAGACTTCGATTTGGATGTAGAAGGTAAAGAATCATATAATGGGTATTAGGACAGTGATATACATGAGTTACTTAATTTGTGTAAATATATTCTGGATTTGTTGAGGTAGTTTTTATCACTAACAGTAATTCTATGAATCATGGCCAGACTTTATAAAGCTAAACATACCTCTTCTATTACCTTAGAGACGTAATCATTCAGAATCTCAGTAACATTAGTGTTTTCAAGAATTTTGGGTGGCTGGGGTTTCATACCTGTAGGAGAGTAACTTTGATGGGTCCCATTTTGTCCAGCGTGAAACAAAGACGTAAACTAATATCTTTGGTTACTCTAGCATTGGAAGAGATAGCCATTATTATTATGGCATAATGCTGTGTGGTCTAAGTTGCTAGCACGAGTAGTCACAGAACAGAGGGCTGTTTATAACCCTCCCTTCTCCAATNCTGTAAATTCTTCCCCTTCTCTTTTTTGTGTAACCTGCAACTTTCCTAACTTAATTCACTTCAGCCCTTAAGATGGAGGTAGTATCCTAACTTCATGTTTTCTTTGCTTTCTTTGTGCTTTCTTTGTCACTATAATAATATTCACACTTCAGTTTCGTCATCTCTTCTCATTATACAACATTACATGTTTCAGTCTTAACTGGCCATCATCAGATGTATAAGATGGTGGACCGAAGGAACCTGCCGCTCAGTCATCACGCTGTTCTGCTTTTCATTTTGATGTAAAATGCTTCTAAAATATTTCATTTTAGGTTAATTTTAGATTATCATGCCAGTGTTACTTTATTTGCATGCCTGTGTCTGATGTTTGTTCTGTTGATGTGTTCGTTATATCCTTTTGTGCTGCATGTAGCTGTTCTCTAGAAGTTGCACAAAGTTAGAATACTCAGTGCAACAGGATGCTGCAGTATAATAATATGGAGGCATGGTGTTCCTCGAAAACATTGACATCCACTTACCAGATTTCCAGAAGACCACAATATGCATATGGTGCTCACGTTCAAAATACTCTCTCAACACTTTCTCTTACAGAATATAAAGCGATGCAGTCATATAGGAAAGGTTTTCGTAACATCCCATGGATGCCAAATACTTCATCGAAGCCTGGACAACGATCGATGGGCTCTCAGGAAAGAGTTGGTAAGGGTACATATGGTAATCCTTCTACCATTTACACTCATTCACTGTAAAATATAAGGTAATTTTAAACTTTGTTAACAGCTTGAGGGGGAGAGGTAGAATCAGAAACAACAAAATGATGGTTGAATGAAAGCTATGTTTAGCTTTTAGTCTTGTGGTATTAACTATTGAATCATTGGTGCTAGGCATATGAAATTGGTACCAGAATAGATCATAAATATACATGTACACTATGTATGACAAAATGATTATAAATCAACAATTATAAACATGATGACAATGTGATTGCAAGTGATGAATTGTAGACTATCTGGAAGGAAGTGTTTACAGCCTGTTTTGAGGTACTACAGTGAAACCCTGATTTAAGGTTTGTCTAGGGTGGGACAAGATTTTTGTACCTTAAATGAGAGTTTTGAAAAACAGCCTAAAGTGACTGTTAAGCCTAGTTAAATAAAAAACAATGCACTGGACTTTATTCATTTAATAATATAAGTTAATTTGTTTCCCTGAATGTGTCCTCCACACCAAATTTTCTGTTCAAGAATTGAAGCTTTTTGCAGAATTATGTTACTTGATGATGGTGGAGGTAGCACAGAACACTTCGAAATTTTATTTGACAGTGCAGACACTTCTATACTCTTCCTGAGTTAGAATGTTGTGTTGTGCCATATCTTTGTTATTTTCCCAGGAAATGTTCATATACAGGCAAGTTCTGTTTGTATTTAACAGACATGAGAATACCAGCAAACATGCCAAAGATGCCAGTGAAGACAAAAACTACTCAGTATTCTGGTTCACAAGACTCTCATGAAAACACATCTGCTATTCCTCCGGCAATCAGACTGAAGTATCAGGTGGGGAAAGTTATTGGTGATGGGAACTTTGCTGTTGTGAGACAGTGTATAGACAGGTGAGTGTTGTAACGAGATGTACTGTGTCTTGTATAAGCCACCTTTACGTCTGTACTGTATATGTGCCTTTTATCTGAATCTGTTGATAATTGATAAGGGACTCAATGCTTGAAAGTTGGATGCTACCTGCATTTGTATTTGTATTTGTATTTATATTTGTTCAAGAAATCCAAAAAAGGATATAGAACATGTCACAGAACTAAATATAAAACAGGATACATGCATAAATTACACGACTAGATAGTACAATGAATCAAACAATAACAAGTTTCAAAGATCCAAAAAATGGATATAAAACATGTCATAAATAATACAAAACATAAAATACTCAGTTATGCTTATCTGGATCCAACAGTATTCAACAATAATAAGTTACAAAGATCCAAGAATGGATATAAAACATATCATAAATAATATAAAACATAAAATACATGCATAGTTATGCTCGTCTAGATGATACAAGAATACAATAAATACTAAAATTTATCTGTTTAAATATTCTTCTATAGTATAAAATGTATGTGTATTCAAAAAATATCTTAATTCAACCTTAAACTTTTTAAAATTATGAGATGAGTTCTTGATCTCTATGGGCAGTTTATTAAACATTTTTATACCCGCGTAGTAAACTCCTTTTTGAAAACTAGTTAAGTTAGCTTGAGGTAGATAAAGATCTTGTCTATGTCTGGTATTTATAGCATGAGAGTCAATATTTGATGAAAAAAGATGTTTATTCTGCAATACAAATATTAACAATGAAAATATGTATTGCGATGCAAATGGTAAAATGTTTAACTCTTTAAATATGTTTCTACACGAAACTCTGTTACCATATCCCAACATCGCTCTGATGGCTTTTTTTTGGAGAAGAAAAACACTAGAACTATGGGAAGAATTTCCCCAAAAGATGATACCATAGCTCAATAAGGAGTGAAAGAAAGAGTAATAAATTGCCTTTAAGGCTGTAATAGACAAATACTGTTTCATATTTCTTATTACATAACAAGCCTTGCTAGGACAGAGATGCACTGGCATCTCTTTGTGTTGCAAAAGAACTGAATTCCTTCTTTGAAACCCTGTTAATGAACCCTGACCATCCACCTCCTGATGCAAATACAGATGTAAATGTTTTAGACACTAATTGACCAGTTTTGATGAAGTGCAACTGGAATATTACTGCCAGTGGAGACTCCACCATCTTGACATCAAGAATATAAACATATCAGAAATGTGAAGACTACTGTCTGCAGGGATATGGTGCCATGTAGGCTGGTGAACTTCTGCCATCTGTCTTGATGTGAATTTGTCTTTCTGTAAAACCAATTTTTGATGGTTAAAATGATATATTATTTGTGGGGATTGTTGTGTGGTTGTGTTAATGACACAGATCACTGCAGCAGTGCTAGGAAATGTTCAGCCTCTATGTGTGTGTATGCTTGTTGTTGATGTGTCATGTGTATCTATGGCTATTGATCTTGTGTGGTGTATGATAATTGGAGCAGGGATTTGTACAGAATTGAGTCTTACACTGATAACGGATGTTACATATACTGCCAATTTACAAATTCTCATTTTTTCCAGATCAACAGGGACAGAGTATGCTCTGAAAGTAATTGACAAGTCAAAATGTCATGGAAAAGAACACATGATTGAAAGTGAGGTTTCCATATTGAGGAGAGTTCACCATCCAAACATAATACAGCTTGTGGCAGAGTACGACACGCACTCAGAGCTATATCTAGTCATGGAACTGATCAAGGTTAGTGGAGGATAACAGTTGCAGTTGTAAACAGTATTGGCTTAACATGTAAGTACAGGTTCATTTTCACTGTACATCTTAACCGTGCCGAATGAACAAGCATAATGTTTGACTGTAGTGTGTCAAGTAAACTATTTTCATAGAAATTTGAAGTTGGTAAGTTGCTGGTGTCCCTGTACTTGATAAATTAAACACTGTGCCATGAAGGCATGTACTTTAGTAGACGTATAGCTAAACTATTCTTGCCCTCAGTATTAGAAGGAGGTGAGTCATCATCTTCATGCCCTATCTGCAGGGAAACAGACCCTGGTACCCATTGTACTGTGAAGGCTGGGTGGGCAACAGAGTTGGCCTGGACGTTATGGAGAAGAGAAGAAATCTCTTGCCATCACTGGGAATCAAACTCCAACTCCTCAGGTCATCCAGCCTGTAGCCTATTCACTATACCAACTGAGCTATCCTGGCTTCTATTTTGTAATTGGTACTTGACATATAGTTAAAACTGAAGCTCAATAAATGTGTAATTTATTGGCAATTATGACTGCAAAATTTGGAAATCAACTATATGTGATCACTTGGTCCATTTTTAATGTTGTTTTGTTCAATGTTACGGTAATGGTTGCAAGTTGATAGTTGCAAATAAATGTTCAGCCATAATCCATCACATTAAAAATGTACAGAAATCATTTATAAAAGGTGGCGAAATATATGTTATGTAGTATATTTCTTTTTCTTGGAAACGAACTGTGGTTATGCTGAGATAATAAAATGTATTACATGTGAGTATGGAGGAGCAGGTTTGTAATTATTGATCTTCCTACAGGGTGGAGACTTGTTTGATGCCATAGCATCAGCTACAAAGTTCTCAGAGAAGGAAGCTAGTATGATGACACGAAACCTGGCTTCTGCACTCTTCTATTTACACAGTTTGAATGTTGTTCACCGTGATATTAAGCCTGAAAATTTGCTGGTAAGGGATACTTCTCCTATAAGCATATATTTGTGATTTTTAATATTGGCTTCAGAAATACACCTGCCCATTCACCACAGGCAAATTGACAAAGATCTGTGGTAAGTACACTTTAGTGCGTCTAAATATATTGAAATTAAAAGAAATTCTTTTTGCATAAGATATAGAAATCAGAATAAATGATCTGTTATATTTACTTGCATAATTTACACTTTTGAATAATTTATGCATGCCTGCTTTTGAACAACACATTTTGCAGAAAATTAAGTGCTGTAATTTTATTCTTGTTTAAATACAGACCAACACACAATATTTGTGACAAATGTTAGTAAAGTTAAATGCATTATAGCAACACAGTGTAGGGAATTTTAATTAAATCATGAGGTGGAGTCCATAGGTATGAATATCCATACAGTAGTGCCACATTACATTAAGCTTTATTTGCATTTCCAATAAAAATTATGCATGGGCTGAAATTTTATCAGTGGACATTTTCATCTGAATGTTCTTAATGAAATTATGTGGTGGGGTCTGTAATGTGAATATCCATATTGTGTCATCACATCATATACAGTTGTAATTGTTGGAGTATAACATATAAAATTATATTCTAAAGGGTAATGTTCACATATTTTATGCACTACAACTTTCTCATTATTTGGTGGGGGGGGGGGGAAGGGCATAAATTATGTGGACAAATATGTTATTACTTTTGTTCCCTGAAGTTTGGTTCGGTAGTGCAGTAACTTAATCATTTCCCTTTCAGAAGAGATTAAGTTCTGATGATGTGTAATAATTGTCTTTTGCTTTATTATAACCCAGCATTGTATGAACATTAAATATTCCATTTATATTTGAATTACTGAAATCTGTTGTGCAGATCAGAAGCAAGTGGGTGCTTTAAATATGTCAGGATTCATATTTTGTGCCTAGTATTGAAACTAATAGAGAATTCACATCAAGAGATAGTGGACTTGCCATTGGAGTCGGGTAAGAATTGTAATTTTAATCATTACAGTTTTGTAAGCACTTTGGAGTAGATCATTTTTGTGTTTAGGCCCCGGACTCTTGAGGATCATATGTTTGGTTTTATACTATTTGTACTTCACAACAGGTTCAAATCGACAGGCATGGTACCAAGTTGTTGAAACTTGGGGACTTTGGACTTGCTCAAGTGGTAACAGAACCCCTCTATACTGTGTGTGGCACTCCAACATATGTTGCTCCCGAGATCTTGGCTGAAACTGGATATGGTCTGAAGGTAAGTTGTTAGGTATGTTGAGACATAAGTAGCATGTATTTTCCTGCAAGTTTTGGATTGTGAAGACTACTGAGGGCTCAAAAAGGAGTCCCATGAATTGACCCCTCAACATCTCTCTTGACCTTTATGCTTTCATCTCCAACATGCTTCCTTGTATTCCCCTCCAGTCATCTGGCCAATCTGTTCACAGGAATGTTGGTAGTGACAATCATGTGATGATCTAGTGCTGGTTGACATGTGCTTGGTGGGGGGGGGGATGAAGGGGACTGCAGTGGTAGGCAGAATGGGGGAACCTTTAGTGCTTCCATGGCCACAGTATAATAGAAAACTATGTTTTTTAGCTACTATACTGACACTTTAGTGTGAAAAATGCATATATGTATAAATAATGTTTGTATTTTTATATTTGGGTTTAATGATTTCCAGAATTTATGTGATCATTTCTCTGATGTGTGTATAAACATTTCGTCTGCGCCCAAGACTTTTATAAATTTGTAGGTTAGACTAAGATCATTGAAATTAGAGAAGAGTTTTAATGTGTATAGAGCATGACAGGTGTCCCCAAACTGAAGTTAGTGGACAGGGATAATGAAATGTATTGTTTGCAGATTGATGTATGGGCAGCTGGGGTTATCCTGTACATTCTGCTATGTGGCTTCCCTCCTTTTGTGAGTACAAACAGTGACCAAGAGGAGCTGTTCGACCACATCCTGACTGGCCACTATGAGTTCAGCTCACCATATTGGGACAAAGTTTCACTATCTGCCAAGGACTTGATAGCGCACATGCTCCAAGTTCAGCCAGAACTCAGGTTCTCAGCAGAAGATGTGCTAGACCATCTGTGGCTTGCTGTAAGCTTGTACTATGGTAAACTGTAGTTTAAGCCTTTTGTTCCAACTAAAGCAGTGAGGCAGGTCCAGCAAGGCCTGCTGTTAAGTGATCTGGGGTAAATGCTTAATGTTTACTTAATATATTATAGACAGTGTCACATAACTTCGAACAAGGCCCCACATTCCTAGTCAGATCCCGCGTATAGCTTGTGGTGGGAGGAGTTTCTTAACACTCGTTCTTCCACTTTCGCCGATCCCTTGTGTTTCATTGAAACTACCCTATTCTCTTTTCGAAGAACATATTACAATAATACAAATATATTGTCTCTTGTCATGCAAAGAAAAATACGTTTAATGTGTATTACTAATTTATACTTTGAAAATTAAAATATAATAGTCATATGTAATGAAGAAAAGACTTTAGCGAGGCGTCATGGAAGTACATGTAGAATTAACTAGTGTGTCCATGTTAAAAATGTAGTCTATATCATGAAAATTAAATCTGGTCATACCTCGTATCTCTTATTTACTCATCATCTTCATCTGATGTTTCACTTTCCTCACATATCTGATGTGATGATTATATTGTCTGTCCTGGTGTCGATATCCATTACCCTTGTGAAGTACTGGTCCTCTCGATTTTCCACTTTATTGCAATATGCTGCCCAGTCTTCGGCGGAAATGGAATTAAATTTCTCCTCTGCTAGACGCATTGCATCGTCCAACTTAAATGTCATGTTCCTTTGGCCCACCCAATTTTTAATGGTGCCCCACACCATCTCAGTAGGATTAAGGTCTGGATGATAAGGTGGGAGACGTATCACAGGGTGTCCAGCAGCAGCACAAATAGCATATAGTCTATATTCTTTATTATCTGACTTGTGTTTTTTTATTATTTTGTACAGGTCTGGTTTCAGTGCCGAAGTCGGATACAAAATGTTCCGTTCTGCCAACCACTGTTTCATTTCACCTACTTTGGTATTTGAAGTTTGCACTCTGTTTACTTAAAACTTGCATTGTCAATCACGATCACCGTTCTTGGAGGCATGTTTGGAATTAATTTTTCCTGGATCCACTTCTCAAAGTTTCCAGAATTCATCTCGTGTTGGTAGTCTCCTGTTTTTCTGCCTGACTTAAACATAAGCAAAGCTTTCTCCACAAAACCTTGCTTACCACCACCATGTACAATAATTGCTCGTGGACCTTTGGCAACAGGAGAGGAGAGTGTTTTGTTTAGAGAGTCATCCCAGGAGTACGATGATGTGTGGCTACTGTGCAAGTACGTTTCATCGACATACACAATAGGCCAACCTTCTCTGCGATATTGCCTGATTGTCCTCAGATAATGCAGGTGTTTAGAATGGGTGTTATGCCTTTCAATCAATGTTTTTCTATTATCCCTCATCCTTCACCAACGAAAACCAAGCCAGCGAACAATTCTCCTGCAACTAGGAAGACTTCCTTCAAATTATAGGTCTCATCATTTTTTTGTGAAGTTTGGGCATGGTAACTCTTTCACCCTCTGTTTTATGAAAGTCGTAGATCATTCTTTTGATGGCGTCTTCTATAAACTGATCACTTTTCATTACAGGTTTCTCCTTAAATTTCTTGGTGGGTGAGTCAAAGGAAGCACCCTCTTCTAAGCTCTTTTCTTTTCGAATAATTTTATTCAGTGCAGTACGGCCAATTCCTGTAGCTTCACATACTGTTTTCTGGATTGACTTTAAGTTTACAGCAGCTCCACTATCTGCTAATTTCTTTAAGTAATTATATACATTTGCGATTACTTGCTTTGTCTGTGAGTGTAGACCTATACCCTTACCTAATTTCTTACTCAGTATGTATGATTTAGCACACAAGGAAACTGACGTTTTTAAACAGATGATAGAAAAACCATATGTATAACCTGCTTTGAGGGTGCCTTACAAACAACTGGCCCCCTGTCACTTCTCACACCCTTGAACCCACCCCCTTGTGTGAAATTTTTCTTCTGTGTATTCAAGGTTACTCTTGGCCTTGTTTGAAGTTACATGATGCCTGCTATAGAATGCTGAAATTAACGGCCATGGGGAACCATTGTGCTGACCATGTGACGAAAGTTAGCACTAACTTCGCCGACAAGCAGTGGTCACTCAGTTGGTATAGTTCGCTTGCGGACTACAGGCCACAGAGTTTTGTTTATATATTAGAGGAGCCAGGATAGCACTGTTGGTATAGTGACTGGCTGCAGGCTGGGTCGAAGTTTGGTTCTTGGTAGGGACATCCAAACCAGTTCTGTGGCCCACCCATCCTCCTGTCCAATGGGTACCAGGGGTAAAGCAGCCAGGGCATGAAACTGACCACTCTTCTCCAAATAGTGCCAAGGTCAAGAATACATGGATGTATACATTGACTCCCCCATACATCTTCATTACATAGTGCGTAATTAGTTAAGTGCAGGGACAACTTTACCTTTCTTTTTACCATATATATTAACCTTTATGGGATGGGCCATTTAAATTCCCGTAGTGGCAGCGGGACGGAGTTAATTTAAATGCCCGCCATTGTAGAGTAATAAAAATTGTAATCATGTTACTCAAAATGCTGTAATTTCTACAATTTTTGTGATAAACGAACGAAATAAACGCTACTTGTATCAAGAAAGTATATAGAATCAGATACTGTAATTTACAGATTTTAGAATCTATAAAAATTGTTACATTGATTCCAAAAAAAAATTTTCACCAGTTTTGAGCGTCTGTCTACAAAAATGCATAAAGCTTCTGCACAAAACCTTTCTGCAGTATAAATGCATGCTGCTGACTCACGGTCTGACTATGTGTTATCTGGAGGAGAGAGAATGTTTGTTTTCATTGCACATTCTCCAGTCAGTGGGCTTCTTGTATACACAGTGTGGGCAGTTCTTATCCCTCTTATTATTATTCTTATTATTATTATTATTTGTCCTTATGAAACTGTGTCTGTTTATATACAGAACTATCCACACAGAGTTACTTCTTGGAATATTCCCCTCAATGCCCCTTGTGTCTCCTCGTAGCTTCATAACGGACTGTCAGGCATTCTGAATGGTGTTATTTACGAGCGGCCTCTCAATTTCGGCTTGTTCCATGCGAAATGGGACCATGATGCATAGTTGAAATTGTGATGTTTTATAAGCGTTACGAATACAGGAGACCACTCACCATCACTGGCCTACTTCCTGTTAATATGAGACAGATGTTGTGTGTGTGTGTGTGTGTATATGTGTGTGCGCTTCGCATGGAAAACAGAGTTACATATGGACCAAGTGCATGAATTGCAACGTTGGACTCTGCATTCAGTTACATGCAACATTCAGTTAGATGATGCAGGAGGGAAGACAGTCTACTTATAAAGCGGGTGTCTAAAAATAATATAAGTAGAACAAGAATTTCCATCTTAAAATTAGATTTTAAAACACTGTGCGCACGCGTGGACTGCGCATACCCATACGGTGTCTTTCGGCCACTTGGCTTTACTTTAAAGGTCCCCATACGGTGTCCTTCGGCTCATAAAGGTTAAAGAGATGGTAAAACCATAACAGAACACTTAATTTTTAAGAATTCCTATAGGCACAGAAGTTTATCTTCTAAGATCTTACATGCTAACGTGGTGTGGTATGCATAATATTTATGATGTATTTGAAAGTCAGTGCTTTCTACATTCACATAGTGTGTAAGATTTTTGTTGTTTGTTCTTGTAATAAATTATCCTGTAATTGTTATTAACACCTTCATTTGTATGGTATGACTTACCTACCACCTATGTCTTTGTGCTGATCTAGACTTATATGTATTACAATATTTACTATCTTATTTACCCCCCACCCACACACACACACACACACCCACACACACTTTATTTACCACTGTGTATTATTTTTCAGGCAGATTCTTGATGCTATGTAAGAGAAACTATCAAATGTGTACAGCAGTTTTTTTCTTTATTGTATATACACCATTTGTCCCGTTTTTATACACTTTGTGCAGTGGTTATATACTCACCTTGACATCCCATTCTTTCTGATTCCAAAACACCACACACACCAAGCCAACTCCTAAAGGCATTTCTCCCAACCCCTGGATCGAAGGCAAAGAATTCTTACCAGTTCTTCAAAATACAGCTTTTCTTACTTCTGAAAGTGCAGAGGCATGAAGAAACAACTGTCACAGTTCTTTCACTAAAGTCGTTTCTACTTGCTCAGTAAGGGTAGTTGTTGATTCAGTGGCAGGTTCATTGTACGAAGAGTTACCAGTCTAGGTAGCAGGTACTGCAGTCAAAGGAATGGGCTTGAACTTGATTATTGTGTGATCGGTGACAACACTTGAACAGTTTACAGTGACAAAGTTACAGGGAGGACATTTAACGTATAAAAAAAAATCGTCCCCCCAAACAGAGAGGGTGGACATAATGCAAAGGGGTATGTAACGTGAGTAAATTCAATACCTGACTTCTGTAATTTTTGTTTCTTTTTTCAGTGATACTGATATGAGTACAGAGAACTGCTTGGTCTTGACTCCTATCAGTCTTAGAAAACTAACATGTTTTATTTCATGGTATAAGTTATATGGTTTATTGTTGTTCTGCCCAGGTGATGTACTTTACCATTTACTTAAGCAGAAGTTCAGATTAGGATTTTGAGCCAGCTGAGAGTAAGAAGCCAGCATAAATTTTAACTAATGCTAAATAATTAGTGATGTGTTTTGTTTCAGGAGGCAGGTGGGGTAGAACAATTGAAAGTCTACCGTACAACAAACTTACACATCTCTCCCCAGGACACCTTTGCTCATTCTTCAGACTTCGCTATTAACATGGATGTCAGGTAAAACATGTTGTAATTGCTGTTTGACTGTTTGTTTAAACATTATTTTACAAAATTAAAATTAATTCAAAGGAAACAAAAATTTGACTTTCATTTCAAGATGATCACAGTGGATTTCTCTTTTGTTACATATATAATTATCCAGTGCCCAGAAAAACTTCTGCATGACAACACAATAGAGGTATATCATAATATTAGGATGACAGTGATTTATAATATTATTATTAGGGTTACCAAATCAAAGGGGATGACATGGTAGGGCAGGTAGTACATATTGGAGAGAGGAGATATGCATAAAAGGGTTTGACTGGAAAGGCTGAGGGAAGAGACAGTCATTTTTTTTCCTGTCGCGCTACAGCCCCAATTTGGGCCTAGGCCTACCTCCATGAAACTCTCCGTTTCACTTCGGTTTACTAGATCTTACACATATGGTAGGACTCCTTGGGCGAGTGATCAGCTCGTCACAAGAAGAGACAGTCATAGACGAGAAGATATTGTCATGTGTATGAATGACTGTTGACGTGGTTTTTGTTTGGAGATTGGATTATTGACTAACTGTTGAGTAACTATAACACTATTGCTAATTTTCTTTACTGCAGCACATGCTAAGTGTTTTCAGTCTGCTCTGTCTTCACCAGTTGTTCCCTGGCGATGGCTTTTAGCAGTGGGGATTCTTCAGCTGCACTGACCAAGTCTTCTCTTCACAGATTTCCTTACAACTGACTTCTAAACTTGTCTCAGTTATAGCTCAGACCACTTAGAAAATGCTGTACGTTGTTGTACTCCAGTTGTTTCCATGGGAACATGTTCATATGTGAAGGCATTGCCCCATAATGGCTGCATATACTTGCTTATTGAGAACCTATTGCCTAGCAGCGAGTGTTTTGTTGTTTGTTTCAAGGTCGTTACTCTGTAACAGGTCTACCTGCTACAATATTAAATGGGCTTTAAAGCAATAGGGCGTGTGGGTATAGATTGGTTTCAACTGTGTCATTATAGGACTTGGTTGTAGGCACTTGTTACCACAAATAAACCTTTGGGTTCCATAAAAAGCATGTAATTTCTTCAGTGGCTGATGAGCTATCAGTTTCTCAAGGGTGACTGTCTTCCGTGGAATTAATTAGTTAAACAGTGGAACCTTGGTAATCCAGACCCACTTTAATCCAAACTCACAGTAGCAACAAAGAAAAATTTGGCACCTCTAAGAATTACAAATGTAATCTGGTTATTTACTTCCTTACAGTAAAATTAATTCTTGTGAAACATGGTGTTATGTATATATTGATGGACTTGCCTGTCTACATGGTAAAAGAAGTAACCCAGTTACTGCTTGTCCTGAACCTGACATGTAATCCTATGTCTGCAGGTTCTGTTCATTGTTTGTGTATAAAATGTACCTATAAATCTTTTGAATAAATAGTTTTACTAAAATAATTGTAATTGTTTATTTGAAAACCATTAGTCTGAGTGATTCAATAGTTCACACACACCGGTTCTGCAATTAGTTTAGAGTGCTGAGGTTGCACTGCATTTATGACAGTGTGGTACATAGTTGTATATTATATTATGTGCTTTTTTATTCCAATAGACGCAGTGGAACGAAACCGAAAAGCTGGAATATTTAGTGATGACCTGGAATAGAACTACCTCAGATCCTGCTGCCATGGCATATGACATCAGAGGCCACTCCTTCATTAGGTTAACTTCTTGGCTAAAGAGGCATGAGAAAGAACAGAATTTGAAAGAGGAAGTATGGTTGAACTTTCCAAACAGTGGGCTGGTTAACCTGTGTGCTGGCATGAATATATGAGGTTTGAACTGTGCTTCCAAATTTGTAATCTCCAAAATTAATTTTCCAGTAAGAAAAAATAACTATATCAGAATTGCACAGAGCAGGATAGGATGTGCACCAGAACAAGAGTCTATAAATATGTATTGTGTAATGTAAGAGGCTAACATATTAGAAGAGGTGCTCTTTTTTTCTGAAGTGCAGTCTGTAAATGAGAATTTATTTTTCAGTTTTGACTTCAGCCTTCACCTTTGTATCATTTTCAGCTGTGCAGGAGTATTTGTGTTTATGTCCGGCATCTGTGAATCAAAAACACTATTCACCATGGAAGCATTTCGGTGAATTAATATTTTACATATATATGGTTGCATATCAGTGACCTTTTATTTTAATATACTCTTCAGTAAAAATTTTGTCCAAATGCCTAACAAATTAGACCTACAAGATCACCATAAAGTAAATACTATACTGAACACATGAGACGTGTCCTTCCATTACTCAAACTATGTACTCTTCTGTGCTGAGAAGTTTAATTCAGAACCTACACATTTTCAGTTGGTGTTGTCTCAGTCCTGTTGCTATAGTATTCACCTGTCTCCACGGAATGTAGTTAACCCAGACTTAGTGACATGGCACTAATATGTTATAACCAACATGTCAGGATTCATACGGTTTTTTCAAGATTTGGATATTGTATATACCATGTACAATACTGACAATGAAGAATATCAGGAAATAGCTTGTTGGTAGTATGTGCAGTATTATTGAAATACCAGCTGTGGAAATAATCATGCTATTATAACAGTTATCAACATAAGTCAGTATTTATTCCAGTGCAAGTCATTCAGTTTGCCATTAAACCATAACAAAACATGGTATAAGCTTTGGGAAATTCAACAGTATATTAATTTTAGACATCTTCATTTCTGTTGTAGAAGCATTTACTTCTACAGTGGAAGTGCTTATATTAGTCTTGCTGTTTCAAACTGTCAGTTAGTTCCTCATAGTGAATATGGTAATGAATCTGTACAAGGTATCCTACAAACATGACTCAGTTCAGTAGCAATGAAAATAATATTTTCCAATAAACACTGTATGTTCCATTTGTTAGTTAAGACTTGAAACATTGTAATATGAGCTGTATGTCTATGGGGAGAAGTGCTCATACTGTGAGAAATTTCTATCTGTAATATTCCCTTTAGCCATCAAATATGATCTGCATTATAGGTGGATCATATAAAAGTGTAGACCTTCAGTTGCATAACAGCAGCATTCCAGAATTGTGGTAATTCATATGTTAGGAACATTCCAGCCAATGTTTTTGTCATTTTACATTATGCATTGTGCATGAGATCCTTTCAGCATTACTTGCAGCCCTGCAATTGAATCTCTCTCCTGAATATGAGGGTTACTGGATTTGCTGTTTAAAGGCCTTCTAATTATGCTCTTATTATCTATTATCATACATAATTATCTTTTCTAAACCAAAAAGCATTTAACTGTAACTTATTAGAATGTCAATAGTTCCTCTGCAACTTTCATTTGCCACTATATCGCAGCAGTACTTTCTTCAAAACCTACATCTTTCTGTGCAGTAACTTAATGGTTACAGATTAATTTGATACGGCACTGACAATAATGTGTAATATTAAGAACTAATGGTTTTCTGAGCTTCATCTGTTATCTGCTGTTCTGATCAGTGATCAGTTCTTTCTGATAGACCCAACTACTTGCCTCCCCACCTTTTGACCTAAGGACAGAAACATTCAGTTTTCAGAATGCCCAGGATATCAGGTGAGAACAAAGTCTAGATATCCAGTAATTATAGTGCTACAGGCTATATGAATAGCACTAGAAGATATTAGTAAGAAGTCTGTGGTATGATGAACTGAAAATATGCATGCATTTGTAGTCACTCACTACATAGCGATGTTATGGCAAGTGAGACAGAATATCATTAAAAATAAAATGTAGCACTGTTATTTTGTTAGTTTTCTGTGAAAATGATTTAATTTCATGTTATTCATTTTTGTTAATGGTTGCTCATGAACAGTATAAAATAGTAACCTTGTCACACATCTTTCGATGCATTTACCTTTCACATATTTTTTATTTTTCAGTCATTATCGGAATTTAGCACTTCATTTCATTTGTAACTAAGATAGTGCAAACTCAATGGATCATAGATTTTTCTTTTTTGAAGGGAAAGACAGAAATATAGTTACAAATACCAGTGAGGTTACAATAAAGATTCCAGTAAGCACATTTCAGTGTTATATAGGAAATGAGATTTCCACAGTAAAGAGTATTTAGACTGTGGTGTTTTGGGTTGTAATGCCATGTATTTTTGGAGGAACATGTCATCATCCATTTCACTCTGCCAATATGACCTGGCCACAACTTCACTCACCTCATTTTGGATGGAGGCAGCCATGATCCCCTTATATGATGGCATCCACTTGTAACACTGCATGGCGTCTTAACCCAAAAAGTGCCATCTGAACATTTCAGTTTGTTCCTAGCAGGTGTAATATCTGTTGGACACTCTTCTAAATTGTAACTTTGGTGTATTCCGCTCTTTCTTCTATACCTTAGTCAAACTGTATCTACTGTTCAAATGTGTTTTATATGTTATATATTAGAGACATCTGCTCATTACTTCTGCAGCTTTAGCATAATTTTAGCTTGGATTATCATTTATAAACCTTGATTATTTCCTAGGCCACAGATAGGAAATTATATAACATGTTGATGAAGCCCATTGTTTCATGAAAGTGCCTCCTGAAAACTTTAATGATACAGATTGACTGCTGATTCCAGAGTCTCGCTGTGCATTTAATTCCTATGCTGCAATGTTTTACACGTTGCATCAGGAAGTCTGAATGATATCCAGCCCTAATATGAAATGTGTTCTGAAAGAAATGAAAACCTGCAATGTTAAAGCTGGAGGTTGCTGCTCCCAAGGAATTTTTTTTATTCTCGGCATAATTTATTGATCCTGAGGACAGATCTGTTATTAATAATAAATTATTTTTATTTTTGATTGTAAATTTGCAGGTGTTCACCATGGATAATTAACTCTTTGACTGGCGCGAAGGGTATTTAAATCCCACCCCTGTCCTGGCAGGCCCTTTAAACCTTATGTCGCTAAAATGCATGTAGTTACTTTTTCCTAAATAACTTCAACAAAAATTGGTTTTTAAAAACGAAATTATCAGGAACTAATTAAAATACAATATTTTATGCAATAAATGCCTTTCCATACCTCTTTATTAGTTTTTCTTCGTGCGATAAACATTAAAACATGAAAGTTTGCAGAGAGCCACACCACAGCCTGCACACATGATACTTGTTTCTTTTCTAA